GGCAAGGCACTGCCTCAGCAGGGGAAGAAGTTTGTGGCCTTCCTTCCAGGTGTAGGGGACAAAGTGGGGCCAGGCTAGGCGAGGGTACTTCAGGGGCGTTTGCTGCCTGCAGGAGGCACAGCTAGCTTCAGCCCATGCACTCGGTCTAGGAGAGGCACAGGGCTCAGGTGGAGCTGCATCAGCAGTGTGACCTCCAGGACTGGTTTGGTGCTGGTTGGATGACCTTGGGTGGGTGACCTAGCGCCTGGTTGAGAAGGAAGCTGGCATGAGGCTGTGAAGGCTGACAGGAGAGGAAGGGACCAGAGAACCCAGGGGCTTGGGGGGAAGAGGCAGAGGAGGCCAGGATGGACACTGGAATACCGAGCTCTGGATTGTGACTTGCTTTGATTTTTCTTATACAGAACGTGGATGAGTTAAGTAAGCAGTGCGTTCTCATGGAAGGAACAGGTTTCAGAACCATCCAGATCTTGGTTCAGATCCAGCCATGTGGCCGGGCCAGACCACTTCCCTTCTCTGAAAGTCAGCATTTTCACCACAGAGCTAATAATGCCTGTTTGGGAGGTTGTTTTAGATTAGAAATACAAAACCATTTTGACACATGGCTTATGGTCAGGGAATAATAGCTACTATTGCTACTACCACACAGCTTGCAAACAGAGACATCGCCATCTTCCAGAACGGACAGTGTTAGGCTCAATTAAAATTGTCCGGAACCAGGCAGACTGATCCTTCCTTGAGAGGCTGGCCGCTGTCTTCTGGTTGACAACATGTTCAGTGCTGGCCTGCAGCCCACTCTTACCCGGCACAGCTCAGGAACCAGAGCGACACCGCTGGCTACGGCCTCGGAGCCAGGACCAGGCAGGCCTGGGAATGAAGCTGCCATTCTGCCAGGCCCCGTTCTGGGCATGGTACATGTATTAGCTCTTTTAGTGTGCGCCCTAGACAGGCCACGGCCCTCACCCCTTGGACCTCTGGATGAGCTGTGGACCTGGTGAGACTGACTTCCTTCAGGGCCTCCCCCTTCAGGTTGTACTCACTGAAAATTGCCACGGGGCAGCAGAGACGCACAGCCTGCTTTCCAGGCCTGGCCTGTGTCCTTCCGTGTCCAAGCCACGGAGAGGAGAGGGCCTTCCTAGGGCAAGTCTGGCCTCTGACTTCAGACTCGGTTGGAATCGCCTCTCGGAACATCTGTGCGACCACAGCACATAAAAATGTTTTCTTCTGGCAGCCACTTTCCTAAGGATGTAATAATATATGCATCACACAAATAGTTCTATTTTCGGTGGGTCAGCATTGCCAGAAAGCCGATCCTGACCAGGTGTTGAGGGAGTCGGGCCTTTTCCTTGGGCTCAATTTCTGGCCACAGTTTGGGAGTCAGTCTGCTCCTGTTGGGTCCGGACCTGCTCATCTTCCTTTCCCTCCCAAGCCTCCCACCTGCTGTACCTTTGGGAGTCCAATGGCTACTTTCCTCTCCAGGAGGTTTGATTGGTCATGTGGCTTTACTGACCCTGATGGCCCATAGCCCTTGGCCAGCAGTCCTTGCCTCACTTTGTACTCTTGGTGCTCCTTACATGGGACTCTCCATGAGGAGCCTGCCCTCTGCGTGGAGCTGGGGAGGGAGAGAGATGCTAATTTGTGAAAGGAGGGAATCCATTTGGGCCACACCCTCTCTGAGCAGCCCTTGGAACCATTTCCATGTCGGGGAGAGGACACACAGTCCCAGGGTGTTGGCATCCAAAAACCCATTTTAAAAGTGGGTAGACGGGGGGGGGGGCAATGTTAAAATATGCACACAGATAATAATTTAATAAAAAAAAGTAAAAGAAAAAAAAGTGGGTAGACTGAATGAAAGGTAGACAGAACTCTGTCCCTGCTCCGGCGTGTGCTCCCGACTCCCATTCAGGGCGTCAGGGTTTGGCTGAGGGCAGATGATGTTCCTGCAGACACCGAGGCTCTGCCAGATGGGGAATTTATTAAACCAGCGATGGTGGGATTAGCTAACACTTTTAAGGTCATGGGCTCTCTCTCTCTCACTTCTGTTTTGTGAGGATCGAGATGCCCCAAGATCATTGGCCAGAGAGCCTGGGACAGTTCCGAGCCCCGTGCTAGGGGACAGAGGCCGGCTGTTCTAGCACTCCCTTCCTCTTTTCCAGTTGACCAGTTCTCACCAAAACAGTCTTGCCAGAAAGGCATCTTTGCTCTGCAAAGATTGTCTCATATCTTCTGAAGAGCCTTGCAAGGCCATGGGTTCTAGACTGGGACTACCCTTATAGCATCTATGACAAGACACCCCGTTTCTCCCCCGCACTCCAGTGACCTGTGAGCAGGTGCTGCCATCTGTGACAGACAGCCCTGTCATCCCATGATGTTCCCTCGCTGCACTTGGCAGTGACTTGGATTGGATCTCCAACCCCCCCCCCCCCCCCCCCCCGTCCATTGCTAGGATCCTCCAAGTTCTTCCTGGCTTGAAATATCCCCAATTCTTTCTCATTTCTTGGCTTCAAGGTATTTAAACCTTTTAAGCAGGTAAACTCCAACTTGTACATGGCGCTCGTGCGTGCGCTCTCTCTCTCTCTCTCTCTCTCTCATATCCTTTTCATTGATTTCAGAGAAGAAGGAAGAGGGAGAAAGAGAAACATCAGTGAAGAGAGAGAATCAGTGATTTGCTGCCTCCTGCACACCCTCTACTGGGGATCAAGCCCATAACACGGTCATGTGCCCCTGACTGGAATTGAACCCAGGATCCCTCAGTCTGCAGGCCTGTGCTCTGTTCACTGAGCAAAACTGGCCAGGGCTACATGGCTCTCTTAACCAGTTAACTGCCACGTGTCCAAAACGGAAACCATTCCCACACACCACAATATTTTGAATTTAATTCAAAGGTCTGCCGCTTGCATCTCTAGACGCTTATGGTGTACAAAGGGTTAAAGCCCAGCAGATGTGGCTGGGCCAGGCCACAGCTAAGGGACCTTTGCCTTCCTGAGCGAGTCACAGCAGCCGCTCTGACCTGTGCACCAGTGATAGTTTCACTTAGAAGCCTAAAGCTGCACGGCCACTGTCGCAGCGGCCACATCACAGTCTTGTCAAGCTTGAAATAACCCCAAAATCCACGAGTCCCTTCACAGGACAACCCCACTTTGTAATCAGTGAGATTAATGTTCGAGCCGAAGTATCTGGTTGGCCTTCATCCAGGTACATGTGATCAGCCTACTGAGGCAGGAAGAACAAAGTCGTCAGAGTCTGGGCAGATCTCGACATCTGTAAGCCTCAATATCCTTGGGTTTAAAATGGGTTTTTGTGAAGACGAAATGGAAAAGGTGGCTGCCACCGGGAAGCTCGCTGTGCTTGGGAGCTGCTGTGTTCAGGAACTGACCCATGTTTTTGGGTCCTATAGTGGCCCTTTGATCATCTGACCCCTGGTGCCATTGATAGGCTGTGCCTTCTTTAAGTCTTGGACAAACAGGTTGGCCCAGGGCCAGGTGGAATCATCCCTGGGAACATGGTGTCTGCCCCGTTGGCAGAAGCTCCATCTGAGCGGCCATCGTCTAGTCCCACCTCGACCTCGGCCGCAGATACTCGATGGGAACCTGCCTCAGTCTTATTAGAGGACTTCTCTGTTCTTCCAGCCCAGCCTCCCAGCTGTGCAGGCAATCTGAGGCCCCCAGGGATCGTAGCGCTTCCCTGCTGGGTCCTAGAGATAGCTGATTTTAGGTGTGCCATCATCTGATCTTTAACAGTCTCATCAGAAATGGTCTGGGTCAATGTCAAACCAGTGTTTCCTTCCCAGCTCTAATCTTCCTTCCTTCATGAGAGGGTTTGGCCTCTGCCCCCTCCAGTGTCCTGGCACCTTTAAGTGCACTATGACGCTCCAAGATCAGACTGGGCTGGCCTGGGAGAAAAGGAGACGAGGTGAGAAGCCTCAGAGGCCGCCAACCTCTGAGCACGTCCACCACTCCGAGGTCTGCCCTGCTCTTCTGGTTCTGAAATAGTGAGCTTCTTTGCCTTTTCTTTGCTTTTTTGCTGATCTGAGTTCATTTTGAGCTCTAGCCTTCCTGATACTGTTCTCATGTTTTTCCTGTGTCTTGGTTACCTGTCTCAGCTTCCATGTTTCATATCAGCTGTGGTAGTGGTAGCTGTGTGTTCTTATTTTCATTGTAGTAACGGTGAGCATTGGTGTGTTTGCAGTCTGCTAGGCACCCTAAGCACTGCGTAAGGAATTTATAATCTTTCGGAGGAAATAAGCCTTTAAACAAGGAAGAAATGCACAGTTCCTCAAGAACCCTCCATTCCTTTTCCCCTCCCTGCCTCCTTTCCTTCTGTGGCTGAGACTTGAGTCGCTGGGTCCCACCTCCTCCAAAACTCCATCCGCGTTGTTCTTAGATAGACCCTAGGAACTTGGGTCCAGAGTCTCTTGCTCATATTCCCCATATCACTCAGCTTCCCAGAGCAGAAAGAAAGGGTTGGACCGGGCTCTGCCCTTGCGACTTCTGTGACATTGGGCAGGTCACTTATTGCTCAGAGCCTAAGTGCCTCCTGTTGCCCAGGACTGTCAGCTCTCCCTCTGTGACTGCCATCACAGGAGCACGGTGGTTGGGCCCCCAGCCTGCGGACGGGTAGCCTGTGCTGTGCCTGTCTGTGCCTGAGCGCACCTTCTCTGGGCCCCGATAAGCCAGTGGCTGGTGGGGTGTCACCCTTGCCCTCCCTGCTGGGGGTTTGATGGGGTGACTGTTCCTTCAAGGGCGGATCACAACTCTCCCTAGGAATGTGGACGCTGGGCTTTTGCTGGCTGGGCCGTTTGTGACATGAAACTTAGCTCACCTCGTGCTTGGGTCCCCACTGGGGAGGCGGCCTCGCACCACCTTCAGCGGCTCCAGAGCTGCCAGCAGGAATAACAAGTTCTTTGCAAACTGCGGAGGGCCGTGCTGTGGAGGGGCTGAGGTGGCCATTCCCAGAGAGCACCTGGCTCTCTCTAACGTGGAGGAATGTCTTGTCTTTTGCAGATGGAGAAAGATGAAACTGTGAGCGACTCCTCGCCACACATAGCCAACATTGGGCGCCTGGTAGAGGTGAGTGGTCCTTCTGGGCTCTGGCTCACTTCCACAGCATCTGACGTTTGTCCCTGGAGCCTGTTTGCCGGCTTGCTGGCCTTCGGCCTTGCTTCTTTCTTCCCGTTCCATTGCAGCCAATATTGCGCTTCTCATGATTTGCCCAGGCCTTGAGTTTTCTGAGCCTGTGATCTAGGTGCAAGCAGGGCACAGCTCCTAGGGCATCCCTCCACCCTCCCTCAAAACATTCCCAGGAGGGTCTGTTCAGGAAGCCTTAAGCCTGCCCCCCAGTGAGCGGAGACCTGACAAGGAAGCAGGTCTCTGGGTCCCAGTGGGGACCAGAGGGACTTCAGTTGCCACTGGCTTCCCTTCACCACGCTGTTGGAAGGAGGGGGTGGTGGTGTGGTTTACTCCCAGTAATGGCCAGTGTTGGCCACCAGTACCTGGATATTGGCTTCCTGTGTGCCTGTGGACAGGAAAGGGCACAGAGCACAAGTGGTAAGTGGGGGTCTTGGCTGCTAGGGCTCGCTCACCAGGCATCTGCGCAGTCGTGCGCCTCCCCCCTGTGGTCACAGCGGGGACTGCAGTGGTGAGCTGGTGGGAGGGTGGGGACCTCAGGACTCCCAGCTGTTTGCTGACTGACCTCCCTCCCCAGGACATGGAAAATAAAATCAGAAGTACGCTGAATGAGATTTACTTTGGAAAAACAAAGGACATCGTCAACGGGCTGAGGTAATGTACCCAAAAAGTACAAGCTTTGGAAACCAAAAAGATAGATTTGAATCCTAGGTCTGTTGCTTAACAGTTATATGCCCTTGAGCCTCAGTTTCCTCGTTTGTAAACTGGAGTAAAGTATCCACCTTCTAGGACTGATGTGCAGACTTTGAACAGGAAAGCACCGTGTACCTGTTTGCATTCTCAATACATGCTGGTTCCTACCGCCACACTTGTCACTTGGGGGACGTTCCCCTTAGCAGCCACCGATGCCCGCATCCCTGAAGTCTGCCTCCTCTTGGCCCCCTGGGGTCAGCTCATCTAAAGAATGCCCAGCCCTTTGGCTCTGGGTCTGAGGGGACCTCCATACCAGACTCTAAGAGACATGGCAGGGTGCCCGCCGGGCTGCCAGGCCTCTGTTTGGCCGGGTTTCCGGTGGGCAGAAAGGGCCCCTTCACCTGCTGCTTTCTGGAGAGGACCCCGGCCACTCTGACGTCCTCTGCAGGGCTCCTTGGCTGTGGCCGGCGTCCAGAGCGGCCCTCCACCCATCCCAGGCCCTCTGTTCTGCAGTGTCCAGTGTCGGCCAAGTGAAGGCTGGCAGGCTCTCTGGGTCCCCAAGGTCCATCGTGGCAGAGCAGGAGGCCAGAGCCGGTGGGGCAGTGGAGGCCATGGTGTCAGGAGGCCAGTATCGGAGCATGCTCTGCAGAGCTGTGCGACCGTGGACGAGCCACTCCTCTCGGAGACCCTCCCAGTCAGGGCGACGGGGCTGGGGGGAGGAGAGGCGTCTGCTCTGCAGCCAGCACGGCACTGAGTCCGAGGGCTCTCGCTGCTCCTTGGCTCGCAGCCTGCTAATCCCCGTTCCGGGTGCCGCTCTCACCTTCGGGGCCAGGAGAGGCGGAAGCAGCTCAGGGGGCTGCCCTGGCTTGTGAATTCACCGAGCGGAAAGGATTTCTAGTTTTCTACTCGTACAGTTTCTCAATAGTGAGGATTCCCCTTTGGACCCTCATTGCCCCCATTTCCATCCTGCCTGTGGGGAACGTGGTCTGGCCCCTGTTGGGTTTCATTCCCCCTCTCCCCTTCAGGCAACATTGCTTTCCTGTAGCTGCTGAGCCTCTGACCTCCACACCCCAGCCCAGAGCAGCGTGGCCTTGGTGACGGGCCCCTTTCTTCCGCCTCTGTGTCCCCTGTACCTCCCTCCTCTCTCCACTGCCCCCGCTCACGTGCTCCTGGGCCCGTGCTGTCCTCGCTCCTGCGTTCACCTCTGAATACTCTCTGTAGATCTGTTGACGTTATCCCTGACAACCCCAAGTTTCAGCAGTTGCAGAGGGAGCTTTCCCAGGTGCTGACCCAGCGGCAGATCCACATCCAGCCTGATAACTAGGCTGATCCAGGTACCCTGCCTGAGAGGGCGAGCTCCCTCCACTAAACAGGACTCACCAACCTGCCGGCCCACGGTCCGGCTGCCGCGCATCACTCAAACCACCACTAACCCCGTGTCCGCTCACGGCCCGCCACCTTAATCCAATTAACATGTAGATTCAGCCACATAACATGGACCCGTATCGTGTGTGCGGTGTGTGTGTGGCACTCGGGGCAGGGGTTGGTGTGGGCAGACGGTTTGGCTTTGGCTCCTGTAAAGTCCAGTCCAGCAGAAGTCTCAGGACTGTGCGGCTTCGGTGGCCGCAGGGCCAGGGTCCGTGTCCTGTCCTGCCTTCTGTTCGCCCACGTGCAGCCCAGTCACCCCAATTTCCCACCAAGGATCCTTGGGGCTGGCTGATGGGAAAGGGGGTTATTGCTGTGAGTGTGAGGACCAGCGTCACCTCCCACCCCTAACGAGCTGCAGCTGCCCTCTGACACGCCCTGCGCTGACGGGGAGGAAAACAGTCTTGCTTGTTGATAATGGCCGAGAACCGTGACTTGAGCTTGTGAGAAATAGGAAAGCAGCATCCCCCGAGAGGATGAGGGACACTGGTTTTCACATCACATGTTTGAAAACCCAGCCAGGCAGGGCGAAGTGCCTGGCCTAGGGGCTCAGCCCCAGGCTGGGGACCGGACACTAAAGCCCAACCCAGAAGTGGCTCTGTGGGGTCTCCAGGGTGGGTGGAGGGGGACACTTACATAACCAGGCGGAGCCGCTCTCATCTGTGGGCCTGGAGCGCATTGGTCTGGGCTGTGTGCCCCAGCTCCAGGCCCAAGGCATCTGTCAGCCTCCTGCCTCATGCTGGGACCATCCTGTTCCCACCACATGTGAGAAGCCCCTTTTTAAGGTGTCTCATGATAGTGTACTCCCCCCACCCCACCCCCTCCGCTTTTAGGGTTATCTGGGCCCCTGCCTTGGCATCCAGTGGCTGCCCACTGAAGCCTCTCCAGCATGGAAGCCCTCTGCAGCTGGGCAGCCTGGTACCCACCGTCTGTCCGGACAGGTCCTCCTTCCCACACTGAGTTAGTGCTCCCCCTGGGCATTGGTTTGAGTTGCTTGGCGATAACCTTCCCGGCTCTGTCCCCTGAATGAACGGCCTGTTCTTTATCCTCCAGCTGCCCCAAGCCTAACCCGTCGCTCACTGACTCTAACTCTGGTTCTAACGGCAACTCCCTCCTTTGTGGGGTGGGTGCTGGTGTGCTCGGCGGCTCTTCCCCGAAGAGCCGGCAGCCGCATGCTGGGACCGTCTGCAGAGCCGAGGCCGTCCTTCCAGGCCAAGGACCATGTGAGCGCCTGCTTCGCCCACCCATCCTCCCGCTGGTCACGTTAACCTCCGTGGGAGCCTCTCTGGGAGCCCCTGGCGGACTGGCTACATTGGAGCCCGAGGGCCACGTGGCTGGTGCTGACCCTCCTCTGTCAGCGCAGAGCCAGGGCGTCCAGACGATCAGAAATCAGTTATTTCAGCAGCATCAACCCAAAGTCGGCATTTCTCACGGGCGCTTTTCAGTTGTATGCCGATGCTTTAAAACCTTGCCTATTGCGTTGCACCCTCACATTCTGAGGGTCCTGCCGGGACCTTCCAGGATTGGGTAGCCAGCATTCACCTCGGGTGCTGTTCTCCTGGCCCCACTCATCGCACTGCACCCGTTTCCGGCATTTGGGGTATTTCGATCCTTTCTCCCGCTCCTCCCGTGGAGCACGGTCCGCAGCGGTCCTGAGAGGCAGCCTCACCTTTCCCTGCTGCTTGAGAACTGTTCGAAGGGCGTCAGTAAAACTACTAACAAGTTCTCAGTTAACCAGAACGGTGGGTAAAGCTGACAGTGATCATTCGGAGCGTTGCCAGGGGCATTTTCGGAGCCTCCGTTTCCTTACCTGTAAATCGGAAATAACAGTGCCTCCTGGACGCTGTGAGCGTTAGGAGAAGTGTGTGAAAGCGCTTTGTGAGTCGTACAGCCTCCGTGAGCCTACTTGCTAGCTCTGTCGAGCAGTGTGCCTGCTGTGCATGGATGCACTCATTTCCCACAAACCAGGCCCTGACAGCAGGGACCCCGGGCCTTACCTCAGTTTCCTGCTGCCTCTCAAAATGCCGGGAGAGGGCTTTTCTTGGCCAAGTTAAAGCTGATGGAGCCTCGTAGCAAAAGCCTGAGAGCACTCGTCCTTTGAGTTCTGCCCTGGCCGTGAACCCAGTGTGCTCAGACGTCCAGGGCTGGTTCTTAAACCCTAGCTAAGGGGGGGTGCCCTCTACTCATGGGGCAGCATTGAGCCTCCTGCGGGGCCGGGTGCCATGAGGGGGAAGCTTTGTAACGAGGTCCTCGGGTCCAGAGGAGTGGACCAGGGTCCTGGAGCTGTGGCCGAGTCCCCCAGCCCGGTGCAGAGCGGAGCATCTGTCCAGGACGGGCCCTGGGCCTCCGAGGGGCCGGCGCGGTGCTGAGGGTGTGGCCTCGGCCTCTGCTCCCTCCACATTCGCTGGCGCTGCTCTCACTAGAGGGGCCCAGTGCTGCCCAGTGACCAGCCCCTCACCACCCCTCTTCCTGCGAAGCCTGCTAATCACAATTCTTTTCCTCCCTGGCAGGTCTGTGCAGACTTTTGCAGACAAATCAAAACAAGAAGCTCTTAAGAACGACCTGGTGGAGGCTTTGAAGAGAAAGCAGCAATGTTAAACCTCTGCTTCACGCTAACCGGACATGCCATGCACTCGTTAGATTCCTTTCTTAGAAAACTCGTTTTCTGCTCCCTTCCCTGTCCCTTTCCTCCCCGGCAGGTCACACAACACCTGCGTCACCGACCTGCACAACGCCATCACGCCCTGAGAATAAAGCCGCAACTACCCTCTCCGTCTCCACAGCCTGCTTCCCACCACGTTTTGCTATCAGAACTCGGTGTTTCCATAGAGACCATGCGTGTTTTGTTTGCCCAGGCTCCACCCCCCCATTTATAGGCATAAAATATACTGTCTGTCTGCCTCCCCTTCCTTCCCACCTTTTTGTTACATTGGTGTAAAAAATGTAAAACAAAAAAATTTTATGAAATAACTGTGGTGTGTGAAAGAAGAAAAACTGGAAATCTGATTCCACGTGTGTTTGGGAGTTGCTTGGGGTTGGGATGGGGAGAGGGGACAGCTCTGGGGGGAAGGAGAGGCGGCCCTCAGCACTGTCCCGCACGCCTGGCCCCTGGCCCCAGAGACCACGTTACGGGGCTCGGGGGCCTGCGAACGTCTGCTCTTCTGGCCAGGTGCTTTTCTGTCAATTTTTATGGAATGCAAAAGGAGTTTTTTGTTTTATTTTGTTTTTGTTTTTTTTTGTAAAGCTTAAAAAAAAAATCTACATCTTATACTTGAGCTTCCATACTTAAAAAAAAAAAAAAAGTAAAAAAAGAACAAAAAAATAAATAAAAGAAACTGGGACGCAGCACTGGCCTCGCGTTGTTTCTCACCTGCCTCACTTCGCCAGCGTGTGTGGCCTTTGTCCCGAGGGCGCCCCCAGGTGGGGGGCGTGGCAGGCTCAGCAGGACGTGGGGTGTGGACTTTTCTGGAGCCAGGAGAAAAGGCCCCCCCCCCCCCCCAAGCACTTCTCGACCCCTCCCTCCCGGAGTCCCCAGCCCCACCTGCCTCGAAGCCCTGGGGCTACTTGAAGTCACACCAGCCATGAAGTGGGAGGTGGGGGCTTTCCTCCCTGCTCCCCGCTTTGCTTTCATCTTAGCAAACACCTCCTCTGAGGGTCACTGTCCTCATTCACAGCTTTGGGAGGGAGCTGAGGGAAGGCACCCAAGGCCTCACGGCTGCAGAGGCCATGGGGCCGCAGTAGGGCCCAGACCCTCTCTGGTTTGAGGTGCCTGGAACCGTGACCTCTGACCTGCTCTGCTTGTTCTGACAGGAAGGTTCAGATGGGACATCTTCATTGAGAGAGAAATAGAAACGGGAGAAGCCCCCGCACTCGGTTCCTCCAAGTGCCAGGTGCAGAGGACAAGCTGGAGAGAAGCAGGCCCTGGCCATGCAGCCCCGCACGTGGCAGCTGGGCACCCTCGGTGCGGGGCCTGGAGGCACTGCCTGAGGGTCTGGGTGATGAGAGTGCCGAATAAATGATTTCCCTTTTGATAGGTGTTCAATCATGTGACCAAAAACAACACTTGAAACCCAGAAATTGTGACTGTCCTGGATGCCAGGCCTGATCTTACTCTGCCTTCCAGAATCTTCCACAGAGGGGGGCGTCACTGCTCTTGTTTTGATGCGAAGTCAGGCTGGTGAGAGGGAACAGTGGGCTGTGACAGCAGGTTTCTTAGGCGAAGGAAAAGCAAAAGGAGTGTTGGTGGCCTGGCTCAGGGCCACCTCCCAGCCACTCCTTTCTCTGCACAGAGGCGAGCACGGGGGCTGCAGGGCCCCTCAAGCATGCAAAGGCGCCTGGGTGCTTGACTAGCCCTCGGGGTCTACAAGCTGCAGGTGGCAGACTCAGCCCCTCCACCCCCACGGGCTCACTAGATGCTTCCGGCAGCTGCCCTTTGGTGCCCGATAACAGGAGGCAGCCTTCTGGTCTGGGCTGCATGAACCCTGGCCCCCTGGGTCGGTGGTCTCCACCCAGGTGTGAGGGCTCCGGTGGGTAACCCCGGCATTCCCCGTCTCCCAAAGCCCTCCTGGAACCTGCCTCCTTGCTGTCATCTTGATAGGTGGGCTTCTGGGGCCGCAGGTTCCAAGATTGCCTGTCTCCATTCCCATCACTGACTGTGTGGCAGGCCTGGGAGACCCTCCCTGACGGGGCGGGCAGGCACTGCGGACTTGGCCTCCAGGCCCTTCTCTTTGGTGCCGCCCCCTCCATGGAGCCTGGTGCCCTGCAGTCATGGCCTCTCCTCCCCCTGGCATGACCCACGCTAAGCCAATTAAGATGTTCTCTCCGGAGAGACTGACGCTTAAGTTGGAACAGTTTCATCCCAGCTTGGAAGGTTTCCTGCTCCCGAGCCCCTGGAGCAGCCTGGGCGCTGTCCTCGGTGAGGGTTCACCTGGCCCTTCCCTCCTGGGAGCCCACAGTCGGCCTGTCGCTCGCTGAGGGCACCTCTGCTCCTGGGGAGCAGTGGACACTCCAGGGGCTGGAGGAGAGGGAACCCGAGGGAGCACCTACTTGGGGTCGGTCGCTGGGCCTGGAAACCCTCATTACAAGCCAGAGGCAGGCCCGTCTCTCCACTTAGCAATAAGCAGGGGGCCAAGAGAGGATCTTTGGCTTGCGTTTGTTTGTAAGCCCGTTTAGCAAATTCTTAATAAGTATGTCTCGTTCCAAATACTGGAAGTAAATGTTAATAAATTATATACTCAGGAATTTAACGTTAAAAATCTCATTTTAGCCGGGACCGGTTTGGCTCAATGGATAGAGCGTCGGCTTGGGGACTGAAAGGTCCCGGTTCGATTCCGGTCAAGGGCATGTACCTTGATTGCGGGCATATCCCCAGTAGGGGGTGTGCAAGAGGCACCTGATCGATGACTCTCTCTCATCGATGTTTCTAACTCTCTATCTCTCTCCCTCTCTGTACAAAATCAATAAAATATATTTTAAAAAAAATCTCATTTTATATAAGCAAAATCAATGGATGAAAAACTCGGGGGGGGGGGAGAGGGCATGTATAGGAATTGGGGCGGGCAATGGAAAGATATGTACACATATAATACCTTAATAAAAAAATCTCATTTTATAATTATTTTCTCTATATCTAAAATTTGTAAAACCTTCAGTAGGAAAACCGAGGTTACTTAACACCTTGCATGTTACTTCACCCAGAACATCTGCTTCCTACAAACACTTGGAGGACTTTGTTACTGATTTTGCAATTCACTTGGGGGCCCTATAGTCATTCAACAGGTACTTTAAAAAAAAAAAAAAATAACTAGTTGGTGCTATTTTTTTCTTTTTTCATTATAATTTGTATCATTTCTCAGATTGTTCAAGTAGCCTTTTAAATGACAACACAGACTATAGACATTTTTAAAAATATTTTTTTTATTGATTTCAGAGAGGGAGATAGAAACATCAGTGATGAGACTCGTTGACTGGCTGCCTCTTTCACTACCCCACCCCCAAAAAGGGGATCGAGCCCACAACCCAGGCATGTGCCTGACCGGGACTTGAGCTGTGACCTGGTTTGAATGCTGATGTTCAACCACTGAGCCATGCCGGTAGGGTGAGACTATAAACATTTTATATGTATAACCTCATAATTTAAAGAAATCAAGTCTCTGAAATGTATTTAAATATGGTAGAACATTTTAAGGTTTTATTTTCTTTTCTTAGATATTTCCTGTATCTTTAAAACTATTACTTCATAGACATACTCATCCCTGTTGCTACTTTGTGAAACTTTTCAACTTGGAGTAAGTGCTCAGTAAATGCTCTGAGGAATGAACTAGATATATATTATATATAATCTTTTTGGTCTAGTGCAGATATTCAGCCAGTGTGCTGCAAGAATTTCTAAAGCATGCAATACCTGTTTAGTTGGGCACTGACCTCTTTTCCCTTCGACTATTGAATAAAAACATGGCAACAGCCAGCACAAGAGCCATCTGGTGTGAAGGAATCAAAATTTACCTATTCTTATTGTCAGATCGGCAAAAAATACATTTTTCAGTGTGCTGCAGAATTTTAGTCATTCGTTTGTGTGCCATGAGGGGTGAAAGGTTGAAAGTAGCTGCTCTAGTGAATGAAATCCTTGACTCCTCTCACCTGACCAGTTCCTCAGGCACCGTAGGCCTCCAGGTGACTGTGTAATGACTACATTGAGTAGGAATGTTGTAAGACAGTAACACGTTCTCATTGCCTACAACTTCCCATTCAAGTTTCAATCATAGCCAAGAGCTGTATTGAGTGATGAGTCACATGCCTGCCCATTTAAGATGTAAAAATTCAATAGTTTAGTGCTTCCGGGGGTTCCATGCCTTCTTCACTTGGGTCCCTTGAGGGACAGTGTTTCAGGCATTCACTCCACTCACTCAATTCATTCACCATTTATTGAGCACCTGGATACAGTGGTGACCAGGAGAAGTCTCAGCCCATACCATCTAGTGTGGGCGGGGACGTCCTTATTAACTGCATGTGCTGGGAGGTGGCTGTGTCCTCAGGGCTGTCACAGGGCAAGGAACTAATCAATTAGTTGAATTGAGTTAATCTGAAGCCAAAGGCCATCCCTCCTCCCGGCCACAGGGCTGACACTGCCGGGACAGCTGGGACTCACACCTGGCTGTTCACCAGGGATCCCTGGGGTCCCGCCATCCAGCTCCGGTAAGAGCCAAGTCCAAAAAGAGGAGGCGTGAGGAGAGGGCCATTTCTCCCCTTTCTCAGCTTTGGGAAGCCCAAGCTGTGGCTTCGAAAACCCCAGGTTCCAGGAATAACCAGGGGGAACCCTGGGCTGGGAGGGCCTGGGCACGGGCCCTGGATTGGGTAGTTCCTTCTGCTTTTTGCAGAGTGCCACCTGCCTGCCAGCCAGCTGGTCCTGTCTCTCCCCCCCCCCCCCCCCCCCCCGTCCCTGTACCCAGGTGTGGGGTCCACGGGGCCAGATACTGCACAAGGCGTCTTCACATTCAGCATCTCATTCGATAGTTAGGCCTCACCTAGAGATGAGCACCCTAAGCACCCCTGCCTGCAGCAAGAAGCAAGAGGTGTGAGCCCAGGGGAGAAAGGAAATCCATGGGGTGCCTTCAACCCCGAGGCCCCACTCCAGCAGGCCCGGCCCAGTCATGCAATGGAACCCGTCAGACTGGCCCTTCCGCTCTGGGGAGGAAGTAACCTGCACAGACCAGGGCTTGTGCTGGGCAGTGGCTACACTCAGGTAGGCAGTTTATTTACCAGGCACCTCCCTGCGCCAGGTGCTGGGGCACAAGCCGGCAGGCCCGTCTTATTCAGCCACAACCACGTTCTCCATCTGACAGGCACTCCCAGCGCAGGGGCCTCGTCTCCCATCAGACTGGGCTTCCTGAGGGGAAGGGGTGCTATCGCCCATCAGAGAAAGGTTTCCAGGGTGGGGCTGTGATATTTCATCTTTCTCCCCACCCAGCTCTAGATCAGGGGTTCGGGCTGCCATACTGAGCCCGTCTTCAGGCTGGGAGGTGCCTCCTGGCTCAGGTGACCAGCATCATCCAGCCAGGTCACAGCCCTGGGTGGCGGTGGGGGAGGGGCGGCAGAGCCAGCTGGGCCTAGGGCACCTTCCACTGCGCAGACCAGAGGCTGTGGAAGGTACTGCTCAGAATGGTGGGAAAGGGGCCTGAGCCCAGCAGGGTTGGCTGCCTCCCTCAATCCTCCCCCCTCCTGTTCCCCTCCTCCCCCCGGCAGGGCAAGACTGAGGCTGGACCCCCAGGCCCTAGCCAGGGAGAGGGAAGGCACCAGGTGTGGGATGACCCCTGTAGCTGAGGGACCTAATGAAGGCAAGTGGCTTAACCCCTCCAAGCCTGGTTCTCTGTTAAATGGCCATCATAATGCAAGAGGAACCCCCCCCCCCCCAGCAAGTTCTCAGGAAACCTCAGTGGCATGCCGGGTTACACACAGGCCTCATAGGCATGCCTCCGGACAGGGCGGGGGAGACTGGCCCTCACTGCCCACCTAAACCTCAGAGGTGCCCTGTCTCCTCTCCCCAGCCCCAGATCCCTCCTCTCTTCCCCCAACCAAACCCAGCCTCCTGCTGGGAGCCACTCCATGCCTGTCCCACACCCCACACCCCACATCCCCGCACTCCCATCTCCGGAGCAGCCCAGACACACACTCCCTTCCCTCTGCCTTCACCATTCGGCTCCAGGCCTCTCCGCCATGAAGCCTCCTCATTCCTATGGCACTTTGTACCTTCTGGTAACACCCCTTCTCGCCAGGGAGGGCCTGGCAAGTTCTGCCCTTCTTACTGGCAGGGACCAGAGCTGGTTCACCCCATCCATCCCAGATTTTGACTGTAGCACCAAATTGGGCCGTGGCAAGCCCCCGCCCCCTCCCCAGGGAGGCTGTGCCCCTTGCTCAGCTCCATGCTTTCACTGGGGCTGGAAGAGGAAGATTCTGAAAGAAAGGCTAAGGGACAGCCTCCATCCCAGCCAGCCCGATGGCTCCCACGGGCTGGGTGTGAGGGAAGTTGGCTGTTCCCAGGCACCCAAAGGGTCTTGGCCAACAAGGAAGTGAACTCAGAACAGAATCTGGGAGGCAAACGGAGCCCTGCCTTCCTCTCCTCCCTTCCCACCGGCTCTTGCGCCTTCCTTTCCTCTGGCCAGCAGCACTCCCACCTTTCCCCGTTTATCCCCTGCTCATCCCTCTGCCGTGCCGCCTCCTCCAGGAAGGCCTCCCGGATCTCCGGGGAGATCTGGTTGTCCCTCTCCTCCAACTAAAAGTGGTCAAAGCTAACCTGTACGGAGCTCTTACTACGTGCCAGACTTTGGGCTAGCCGCGATAATTACACCCTCTCCTAAGGACATGCGAAGTGGTCATACTGCCATCGCATTTCACAGTTCAGAGTCACTGAGGAAAAGCGAAGATGCAGAACCAAGACCTGAAACTTAACTTGTGCTTCCTCCTGAGCCCTGAGGTGCAGGGACTCTCTTGCTGGTCCCCACCACCGGGTGTGGAGCCTGGCACCGGGAAGCAGCCTGAAGAAATGTGAGGCCACCGGGAGGCGAGCCGGCAGACCCGGTCCCCTCTCGCTTGGCTCCCCGGCAGCGGATCCTCTGGCCCTGGAAGGCGGGGCCCAGATCTCCCTCCACTGCTGTTCAGAGCAGCCCAGACCCCAGCATCCTGGGAAGGAGCGACAGGACAGGCCTCGCTGGGAAGTATGGTTTACTAGGCTGGCTCAGTCCACGGGACAGTCTGGGCACACCAGGCACGGCTGTCCCTCGGGGGCGAGCAGCAGAATGAGGTAGGTGAGCGAGGGGCGGCTGCGCTGTGTTTTCAGGGGTGAGGTCCCCGCGGCAGCCCCTTCATCAAAGCTCCCAGGGCAGCGGCCTCAGACCCCGGGGATTGAGTTCCCAGCGGGAGGGGCAGGCTGGCCTGGGGGCCATCTGGCTCCGGAAGAGCCAGCCCAGCAGGTGTGAGGGAGGCAGCTGGGTCAGGAGCACTAGGCCCCCGACCCTGGCTTCCTCCACAGCCTAGTCCAGGGTCCTCGGCACTCTGACTGCCCCCCCTCTCTTCCTGAGTGGTATCTGGACGTCCCGGTCATGTGGGCTTGGCCTGCGTCCCGGTCAGCCGGGGAGGAGGGGCTGGTGCTCTGAGGACGTGGCGGCGTTTCTGTACACCAGGAACTGGATGGAGATCTGGAGGGGTTGACGTCAAGGCCTGACCAAGCACAGACTGGGCTGGACCTGCCCCTGGGGACCCCTGGCTCCATCCAGAGCTCCCTCTTCCCTCCCTCTCAGCCCCACTCTGGCCGGCGATGACCTCCCAGCTTCTGCTCTCCCTGCACCTCCCACTCCTCAATCCCTAACCCGACTTCCTCCTCCAAGTCCAGCGCTAGGGTCTTCCTCCCGCAGGCAGTCCTCCCTGACTGCAGCCCCATGAGCTGGCCTTCCGCCCACCCTGCACTATCCTGGGAGTTTCCCCCAGGGGCTGGGGCCATCGGAAGGCACTGAGAGCTCACACTGTGCTTTTGCTGACGTTCGGTATTATTTTAGATTAGTTCCAGGTGAGTTAAACTTCCCTCACGGCAGCCAGCAGGGACGCGGCAGATGTGCAAACAAGGGCCACGCTTCCTTTCTCCCAAATGCGATCCGAACGAGGCCCCGTCCGGCCGTTCAGCAAACATTTACTGAGCACACACTGTGCTGGGAGCGCGCAGCCTTCCGGACCCCTTACCTTACGTGATCGCCCCATTACCTTACGGTGAGACAGCGGCTGTTACCTCCCCCAAGCGATGAAGACCCGGAAGCACAGAGAGGCTGAGGAACAGAGCCAGGATGTGACCCGTTGTTGTGCCGAACTCACGTGTCTCCACGTTTCAGCTCTCGCTCCTCAGGCCTGCAGGGCCCGACCTCCCCACTCCCGGGGCCTTCGCACAAGCTGCGCTGGGCACGTCCTTCCGGCCTTTGCCTGCCTGACCTCTCCTCCAGGGCAGCTTAAATGGCACCTGCGAGGCCTCTGCAGAGCCTTTAAACCAGGACAGCCCCCTGGTCACACCCTCACAGTCTTTCTCTGTGGCCCTCGTGTCATTGCAACGAGCAATGAATTCTCCGAGTGCCTCCCGTCTGCCTCCTGGGGCGGGGAGCTCCCTGGGGCCAGGCCGTCCGTTCTCGCTTGCTCCTGGGCCCAGTGCCTGGCGGGACGCATGCATGGCAGGCAGGGCTGACTCTGGGTGGGTGGGTGGATGGGGAAGCCCCGAGCAGGCAGGGGCTGCCCGCCCGGAAGGATACGATGGCGTCGAGCAGCAGCACGCCCAGGCTGCCCACGAGCCACGGCAGGTGGTGCAGCACGTAGCTGCCCTCGCTCTGGCCCTCCTCGGGGTTCTTGAGCAGCACACTCATCCCGTACAGCGTGTTCCCCAGCATCACCAGGGCGAACAGCGAGTAGGAGATCCCCTGCGTGGACTTCCGCAGGAACTGGAGGGGAGGGGGCTGGGGTCAGAGGCCTCAGACAGGGCTCTGTCACCCTGGGTGTGACCGTACCCATCTGCCCGTCACACTGCGCGCGCCGTCAGAAATCCGACTTTTCAGGCACGGCATCTAAACAACCCGCTCCAGGGCCCGGCTCCTCATCCTCGCTCCTGCCACCTCCCCAAGCCCCTGCCCAGGTCCACGGGAGACCATGGCTGTGCTGTGCCTGCTGCCACAACGCCCTGCTCTCAGCCCCACGCTGGCTCCCGCTGCCTCTGACCGCCCATCCCTGATTCTCCACCGTCTCTCCTCTCGGGCCTCTCAGCTCAGCCCCTCGCTCTCACCTGACTTCCTACTTGTGAGAGCCACACCGGTCACACGGGCGCCTGGATGGCAAGCATCACCACGCCCATTTTCCAGAGGCACAAACCGAGGCTTGGAGAATTGGATGGAGTTTCAAAGCCACCGGTGAGAGTCGACCCAGACCTTCTGCTCTGTGCTACTCCTGAACCCGGAGGCCTGAGCTGCCAGGCCGGCTCCTCTCTTCCCCTCGGCCCCACCCCGCCCCAGGCTCACGTTGGTGTGGATCTGAGGCAGCCGGGAGAACAGGTACAGGACGCTGGAGACGGAGCCGATGACAAAACCGATGATCTCCTGCTTCGTGAAGGGCTGAGAACGCAGAAGGGAGTGGTGCTCAGTGCTCCCTCCTAGAGGGCAAGCCCCCCCCCGCCCCCCCGCCTCCCGCCCAGGTGGCCCCGCAGGCAGGGCCCTTGATGCTAGCCTCCCACCTCCACCCGACCGTCACGTCCCACACCTCACCTTATTGCCTGGCTCCACAGACAGGAGCTTCCGGCCCTGGAAGACCTCCCTCGGGGTGGCCACGGAGGCAGTGCTTCTCAGCAGCGGGCTGGCGCACACCAGTCCCAGGCTGAAGAAGAGCAGGGCGTTGATGGGGGCAGACACTGGACAGGAGGCAGGAGGGAAGCCGGAGTTAGATATCTGAGTGGCGGCAAACGGATCAGAGTCCTGGCCTTGCCCCTCGGTGGCTGTGTGACCTCGGGCAAGTGACCTAACCTCTCTGAGCTTTAATTCCTCATCTGTAGAATGGGTGCACTAACACTATCCTTCTCCTGGAGTTGTAAAATTGGTACGATGACAGCAGTAGGGTCCAAGGTGGGGGGGGGGGCAGTGCCTTGGGCCACATCTCACAGCCCTGGCTCTGACCTTGGCTATGGCCACCTCTGAGTCCTCAGAGGCAGCGATGGCCTGTGAGCCCTGTGCCTGTTTCCCCGGCTCCAGGCCCAGGCCCAGGCCCAGGCCCAGAGGAGCAGCAGAAGCCATGCCTGTGGAATAGCAATGTGAGTGAAGGGAGCCCCAGTGGTCCTGCCCGGATGTGTGTGCCCTCAGCCCTCGGCCCCTATCTTGGCCGATCAGGGCTCAGGCTTCCAGATAAGGCTGAGGAAGCCTTCCGGAGGGTTATCACCAGGCAATAGGACAGCTGCTTCCTCTCACCCTCCGGCTGCCCCCGGCGTGCCTAACACAGAGGGAGGGCCCTCCGTACTCACACGCAGAGGGGCGATTCTTAAACTTGTAGTGAAAGTAGAGGGACAGCATCACCAGGTCCGCCAAGACGTAGTACACCGCCGTGTAGGTCTGCAAGAGAAGCAGGGCGCTGGCTCAGCCCCGGCCCTGGGACCGCACCCCGACACTGGGCAGCACTCTTGAAAGGAGGATTGCAGTTCCTCCCTGGCAGAACTAGAGAGCACGGGGGTGAAGTGTTGGCCCTGGCAGGTGAAGGAATGGGTGGCTAGCTCCCTATTTTCCTCCTCCAGCCCACCCCTCCCCCACCCCACCCCCACCCCCACCCCCACCCTGAGCTCCATCAGGATCAGAGCGCCCCAGAGCTTAAAGGCTCTGGTGGTCCTCTGGTTTGATGTGGCCATTTTACAGATGGGGAAACTGAGGCCCAGCGACCAGCCCATTGCCATACTGCACGGCAGGGCCCAGGGCTGTCTCTACAGCATGGGGCCCTCATAAGATGGAACGACAGGCCAGGAGCCCGGAGCCCGGGCCTCTCCTGTGGGTGCCCCCACCGCCTCTGCCATGGCTCTCCTGGGCAGCCCATCCTGCCCGGGGCCGGCCCACCTGCAGGGGCAGCTGGTCAGCAAGGAAAGAGCCGATGAGGTTGCAGGAGTCTCCGCCAATCCAGCCCAGGAGGAACCACAGGGACAGGGCCTGGTCCATGTTGCCCGTCTTGCAGGCCTTGATGTACTGCCTGCGGCAGAGGAGGAGACGCGTGCTCAGGCGCCGAGGGCCATGGCATCGCCTCGGAGGGTGGTGGGGCAGGGGCAGCAGAGGCCAAGGTCACCGGGAGCCCTGCAGACAGGGTCCTCGCGAGCCTCTTTGCCCACTGGGGGTTTTTACTGGGAGAAGCCCTGCCTACCCAGGGACTCGATGGGATGTGCACCTTCTCAGACAGACCATGGCGTCACTCACACTCCCCTCCGAGCACCCTGGGGGCCTAGAATCTTCCTTCTACGAAGCGGGTGGGGAGTTTGGAAAAAGGATGGTGGTGGTGGCAGCAAGCCAAGGGCCGAGGCACGGCCGCTGCCCTATCTCCAGGACGGACGGCGATAAGATGATGGGCAACCACAGCCCGCTAGCTGCTAGGGGCAGGTCTGTGTCTCCTGGCTCTCCAGTACCAACGCCGGGGCAGTCAGCACCCTGGCTATTTCCCAGGGGCCCCTGGGACTGCGCCCCTTTCTTTGGGCCTCTGGCTGGGTACCAGGCACGGTGCTGAGCCTTTCTGAGGTCCTCACGGTCCCCCAGGGGGTCAGGTGTATTTTGAGGACCCTCCTCACTGCGGGCTGAGGAGGTGCGCAGCCAGGAGCTGGGAGTAGGATTCACACCCAGACCCTGGGGCTCTGGTCTCATTCCACCGGGACTGCTTTCTCCTCTGAGCTCATTTGCAGATGGCTCGCCTACCCCTTTATCTGTCACCGCTCTGGATGTAGTTCCTCTCAGGGCCTTGCTTGGCCTGAGCTCACCAGCGCCCTTTGTGACACTAACACCTCCTGGACTCAAGCTTCTGGAGGGCAAGGACAGGGCCCAGCACAGGCCTGGCTCAGAAGGCCATGAATTAAGGTTTATGCCGTGTCCCACTTAGCTCCTTCACGGTGCCGTGACCTGGCCTAGCTCCGAACGTGCAGGTAAAATACTTTAGTCACACCCACAGGGCCTGTGGAGGAGCAGGAAGGTGGCTGCCCTTTCCGCCGTCACTTGGGGCCCCCCCAGGCCTTCAACCCCCGTCACGGGATAATCAGCCACACCCAGGCAGGGCCAGTGCTGTGCCGGGGCCGGAGGGGGAAGCCTGAGCCAGCTCCTCTGATAGTTCAGGAGTTTCTCTCCCTCGGCCCCCATCAGCACCCAGACCTGTCCACTCTGCCTCCTGAGGGCCCCTCCAACGGCCCCGCCATCACCGCCTGCTGGATGGCCTCTCCGGCCCCAGGGTGTCTTCGAAGGGGAAGCCCTGCAGCCTCTATTTTCCTTCCTGTGTCACCCCTAGCGTAGCCCTTCTGTGCTTCTGTGGGACTATGACATAGGTAACGGCTTTGGAAAAGACCCTGGGAGTTCTCAAGCGATCGAGCACGGCCCCGCCACCCTGGCGCTACTCACGGGAAAGTGGACGAGGCGAAGCAGAGAATGGAGATCAAGCCCAGGCCCACACTGGCCTCGTCCCAGCCGTCCTGGGCACATTCCCCAAACACGTCCCAAATCCACCGGGAGCCATTGGGGCAGCTGGAGAAGTTGCCGGAGCCCAGTTTCTTCCAGACCATGCTGCGAGGGCGGGAGGGAGGGTGCTGGCGCTGAGGCAGGCGAGGGCTCTACAGGGAGAGAGGGGGGGGGGGGGCTTCAGCCTTGGAAGGTTGGGGTGCTGTCATGGTGCCCCCAACCTAAGCCCACCCCAGCTTATGACTGAGTCCTGGACCACAGGACACCATCAGCCTCAAGCACAGAAAGCGAAGCCAACCCCAGTCAACCATGCGTGCAGGGAGCGCTGGGCCCACAGTCAGGGGCAAAGTGCCTTCGCATCCCCCCTTCACCCTTGTTAACGGGCAACTGAGCCTCCGTTCCCTCAGCTGCAAAACGGGGTGATAACAGCGCCCCCCTCATACATCTATCTGTGAGGCCCAATGAGCTCGTAAATACAGTGTGGAGAGCTGGGGCCCAACATCTCACTTTGGCTGTAACTGCTGAGACCAGGCCCATGGACGAGGCTTGTCACCGACATTGGTCTGCGGGCGAAATGAAAGGGGTTCTGTGGAAAGTAACCTCAAGGGGTGACCCGTAATCTGATAGTAATCTCATAAATTCCTAGCGGGGCAGGTCGTGGTGGGTAGGCATGTAACTTCTTCAGTGAGAGGTTTTAAGCCCTGTTCATTGTTCTTGGATTAAAACACCACGGAAATGCCGGGAGCAATACCCCTCCAGACACAACCACACTCAAGAAAGCACATAACCCTATAATCTGCTTTCTCCCCTCCTCAGGCACCCTTTCCTTTGTTCCCCCCCAATCTCCCATGCATAAAACAAACTGCAAAGCTGTCCTTCTCCAGAGCACTTGAGGCCTTGCTCTCAGGCATATCCTGAGATGTGTCAGGTAAACGCTTTAGAAACGTCCTCTGCAGGCTGGGACATCTCTCCCATCACAAGTCAGATGAGGCAGGTGAACAAGGACCAGGTGAACCCCGAGGTTGCACAGGTGGCTGGGATTCAGGCCATATTCTCCCAGGAGCTCACCTGTGTGGAATGCCTGCTGGCAAGGAGCCCGTGCCACCTCCCCATTCTCACCGCTGCTAAAGCCAGAAGATGGCTGGCTCGGGGGCAGGCCCCGCCCGGTGCTGAGCACCCTGCACAGTGACGAGAGCAGCCACTGCTGTGTGACAGCCCCAGAGGAAGGAGGAAGCCGAGCCAGGTGGCCCACCCCTCCCCAGGGGGAGTCGTCACAGCCCATTGCTGAGCTCTGTGCCAGCTCCGTGCTCACTACCTGCCTGCATATATGCATCTTGTCCTCCTATCCGCTGGTACAGGAGCCAGGGAAGGGGCTTGCCGGGGCCTCCCAGCCAGGAAGTGGCAGAGCCATGAGTCAAAGCCAGGAGGAGCAGGACCCAAACCCCTGCTCCTGGCCACCGTGCCCCACAGCCTCAGGCGCGGCGTCTGTGGGCGGGGCAGAACCGGCCTGTGGTCCGGCCTCCCGGCCCAGCTTCTCTCGCAGCCACAAGGCAGGCTTCCCCTTTTCTCGCTGCTCGGAGGGGCTTTCCTCCGGAGTGGGCTCAGGCTCCTCCAGCTCCCTCCAGTTCCCAGTCCCGCCAGGAGGCCTGGGATCCTCCTAAAGCGACGCCCGGTGCCACAGACTGAACATTCATGTCTTCCAAAACTCAACCGAACCCCCGGCAGCCGCCAGGAAGAGGTGGGGCCTTAGAAGTGCTCAGGTCAGCAGGGCGGAGCGGATTAACGCCTGATGAGAGATGGGAGAGAACTTTCTCTTTCTCTCTCTTCCTCCCTGCTGGGAAAGGACTGTGAGAAGGCGGCCATCCCCGAATGGGGAGCGGACCCTCACCAGACAGTGAGTCTGCTGGCACCCAATGGACCTGTGTGGTTATAAGCCACCCCATCTATGGGGTCTGCCAGGCAGCCCCAATGGACTGTCATGGGGACTGGACCCTGGGACTGTTGAGGTCGCAGCTGAGTGCCAGGAGGGCAAAGGAAGCGAGTCAGCTTCTCTTCTCAGGAAGCTCCAGGCTCTCAGCCCTAATGCGGCCAGCAGTGTAGTGGGCAAAGGCCCCGGGGCCGGGACGGGGGCACCCGAGGTCACTGTCTGCCCGGGTCACTGCAGCATCTCCAGGGCCCAGCCTCTTCCTGTGTTGGGGTGACGCACCTTGATGACCTTTAGCACAGCTGATGCTGCTGGCATTTACCCGATGTCCTGCATTTCAAATCAGGTCCCTTTGCTCCCCAGCCACCCCCAAACTGGACTGCTCCCACTCTCCTCTTAGATCCCAAACGTGCCACTGCAGTTCATCACGTTAGGACACTGCCATCCTCGGCACTTTCCTGAGAGGTGGGAATGCTGTCCCCATGTTACAGATAAAGGCGAGTGGCTATGGACAAGTACGTAACCTGTCCGAGCCTGTTCACAAACTGGGGATAAGAGCCTCGCTCCTTGGGCTGCTGTGCAGGTGAAATGCACCCACAGCGCCAAGCCAGGGCCTGGCAGTGCCTGGCGGTGACTGTTTTGTGTAGCTCAGCGGCTCTCAGGCCACTCTCTCGCTCCCTCTTTTCATCAGGCTGGGGAGAAATGAGGTAGACAGGAGCCCAGTGAGGGAGGGAGGTGTCCTGAGGAATGTATCCCGGCTCCCAGGGCCCAGGGCTCGGGTGGATGGTCCCCAGTCCACGGGGAAGGCCACCCCTGAGCCCTGAACAGAAAGGGCTTTCCTCCGGGGACCGCTGTGCCTGGGGCCTGTCACCCTGATTCCGACTCAAGTAGGGAACCGTGTGGCCCCCCGCCTGGCTTGTGGAAATGGGCCCACCTGGTCACACGGCACCGAGGGAATGGATGCCCAGAGTGGCAACAAAGCTTGAGGGCATTCGTAGGTTTGACAAGGACCACAGCTGGGTGCCTTAGGATCAAGGAGGGCACATGGTCAAAATTCAGGATCAGTCCGCCTGGGTTGGGGATCAGGGACCTTGGGTTTAAGAGGCCCCCCGGCTGATTCTGAGGCCACAGAGGAAGGCTGCGCTGGAGAAGGCAGCTCCTGCCACACCCAGCTCCTCTCCCAGCTCGCAGCTGAGTCAAGGAGATGCTTTCTACTGAAGCTGCCCAGGGGACCTTCACCTCCCAGATCAAGTCCACATCCCCAGGTACTTTGGGGACTGCCCTCCCTTATCTCCTGCCCAGTGCCCCCATCTTCAGTAGTCATTCTCCAGGCTTATTTCTGCACATGCTGTCTCATCCCCTAGGGCTGTGCTCCGCAAACTGCGGCTCTTTGGCCCCTTGAGTGTGGCTCTTCCACAAAGTACCACGGCCTGGGCGAGTCTGTTCTGAAGAAGTGGCGTTAGAAGAAGTTTAAGTTTAAAAAATTTGGCTCTCAAAAGAAATTTCAATCGTTGTCCTGTTGATATCTGGCTCTGCTGACTGATGAGTTTGCCGGCCAGTGGACTAGGGCTGTCCTCCTCCCCATGAAGGGCCTGGCAGAGATACTAAGATCAAGCTACCCCTTGTCCTCTCCAAGAGGCTTTACCAGGGCTGGCTGGACGCCACCCGCCACCTCCTCCTCTCCCCTCACCCACAAGCCTGAAGAACACTTCTGACACTCGTCGGCGATCATTGCTCTTTAAGCCCAATCCTACCCTCCAACCTAATTGTACACTTAGGAGTCCGCGCACACCAGCTGCTCAGTAAAAATACGGAGAGAGGAGGGGAGGAGGGGAGGAAGAGAAACAAGAAGAGATCTTGTTATGAGCTCAGATGGCCTAAGGACGAGAAGCCTACAAGTCAGAACTCTCGGGCAGGCGATGCTGCCTTCGCGTTCCAACCCGCGAATGGGGAACATGCAAGTACCCACCTCCATGACGGCACACAGAGCAGAATGGTGCTGACACCGGGTAACCCCCTGCGATAATAACTATCATTCCGTTCTGGCTGAAGAGCTCCCCGGATCCCCCTACAGGCCCCCTGGCACACAGCAGCCTTCAGCAAGGGTTGCACGGACAAGACTGGCGCCAACCCTCACGCTTTCAAATGCAGCCTCCCGCGTACTCATTTGGAAACCGGTCCCGGGCACAGGGTGGGGAGGACGCAATCTGTGCTCCCTGCAGACCTGGGGAATACGTCGAGGAGGAGCGTCCCGGCGGTGGATACCACCCACGCCAGGCCTCCCGGGTCTGGGCCAACTCGTGACTCAGCCCGGCGCCGGCCGCCTGGTTGGCGGGGATAATGACAGAGCAGCTGCTGGGGTCAGCGCTCCGCCCCCTCCCCAGGCCCGCCAGGGGGAAAACAAAGCAAAGCCATCAGAACCCGGGACCCAGACCCCAAACCCCGGCCAAGCCCGTCCGAGAAGCCACGCCCCAAAGGGAAGGGGGACACGGTCCCCGAGGGCTACCCGATCCCGGCTCAGACCCTCACCTAGGACCCTGAGCTCCACAGGAGAGGGCGGGAGCTCCAGGCCGGTCCCGCGGCGGGAGGGGGCGCTGTGAAGATGTGGCAGGGAGGCACCGGGGCCTCCACCCGCAGGGTACCTGCTCCCAGCCCCAAACCGGCTCACCTCGTCCCGATGCGCCGCCCGGCCGGGTTCCTGGGTCTCTGGGATCTGCCTCCACGGCCAGGTCAGCTGACCCCAGGCGAAGCCCCGCCCCCGCGCCGAGGCTCCGCCCCTCGCGCCGCGAGCGGGCCCGACAGTCCCCGGGGCGTTCGCGGGCTCGGCGCGCGCGGAGGGAACCGACGCTCCAGGCCCCGGGTCCCCGCTCCCGCGCCGCCACCGCCTCCTCCGGGCTCCTCCCCGCCGCCCCCTCCGGCTCCTCCCCGCCGCGGGGGCGGGGTCCCCGGCGCCCCAGCGCGCAGGCGCGCACCCCATGCTGCGCGCGGTGTCTCGCGCCGTGGGCCGCGCCGCGGTTCGCTGCGCTCGTAGCCGCGGGTCCCCGCAGGCCCGCAGCGCCGGTGCCGCCGCCGCCATGTCCCGGCCGCCGCCGCGGCCCGCCTCGGGCTCCGCGGCCCGGCCGGCCACCGTGCTGGGCACCATGGAGATGGGGCGCCGCATGGACGCGCCCGCCAGCGCCGCGGCCGTGCGCGCCTTCCTGGAGCGCGGCCACACGGAGCTGGACACGGCCTTCATGTACAGCGACGGCCAGTCCGAGAGCATCCTGGGCGGCCTGGGGCTCGGCCTGGGCGGCGGCGACTGCAAAGGTAACGCTGGTGCCCGCGCCCGGCCCCCCGGACTCCCTCCTGCCCCGTGCAGGACGCTGGCCAGGCCCGGGCCACTGTGCACCGACCCGGGTCGGGACACACAGCGTCGTCCCCTCCCCCTGGCCGCCTGGTAACTGTGAGTTGAATCCCGGCTCCTCAGGCCCGGGGCACGGATAGCCCGACGGCTGGGCAGTGCTTAGTCCTGATCACCTTCCCCCTTCCCTTCTCCTTTAGGGGTTGCAACTCAGGAACTCCCAAGTCTGGTCTATCCCTTAGCTTTCTACCCTTTTGCTTTCTTGGGGCACCTCTCTGAGGCACTGGCCTCCAGAGCTATGCTGTCCACACCTCCAATCGTGCCCGGCGCCCATACCCAGGCCCAGGTGCCTTGCCTATGCTCCCCGAGTACCCTTTTCTCTTCCTAGACTTTGCTCGGTTCGGTTGGCAGCCCCTAGACTTTGCCCGGTTCAGTTGGCAGTCCCTAGACTTCGCTCAGTTCAGTTGGCAGTCCCCTTGGCGCTCTCAGGGAGAGCTGTAGCGATGCAGTAGCAGGCTGGGCTGAGGGGGGCAGAGATGGAGGTGTGAGGGGGTAAGATAGCCCATGCCAGGCTTTTTATGGGGTCATAGGAAGGAAAGTGACTAACACCTCCGGGGAGCTCAGTGTAGTGGTGAAGATTGAAGCCAGGGATTACTGGGGCACCCAGGAGGGGCAGCACGGTGGGGAAAGGAGGGGAGGGGGCACCAGGGAAGGGAAGAGAACATGGAGCTGGACCCTAAGGGGTCAGTAGTGGTTTGCTGGGCAGAGTGGCTGAAAGGGGCATTCGAGCTGAGGGCACAGCTGTGCCAAGACTAGGACTGGAAATGCAGAGTGCCTGGGGTGAGGAGTTGTTACAGGATTCCAGGGCAGAGGGGTAGGGAAACTGAGACAGGGAAGTTAACACAAGGCCAAGCTGTGGGCAGTTTGCAGCCAGCTCGTAACTAACAAACCATTATCTTCCCCAGCCAAGGACACTGAGCAAAGGATTTAAAAAACCTCCCTCATGAGAGATGCAGAAAGGGAGGGCAAAGGGGAGAGGAAAAAGGACAGTCTTACTCCCTAAGCAGAGAAGCCAGCAGTCACAAGGCTTGGCAAGATAACGGTGCCAGGTGCTTTTCATGAATTCTGGGAAGGCCACAGCAAAATAAAAAAAGGGGCCTTGAGAATTAATCTGTATCAAAACAGTCAGCAGAGAAAGTTTGAAGCCTGTAAACAGGAGGGTATAGAACACCTCAGACCCCTACCCAACTTGCTCTTAAGATTAACTGAGAGCCGAAACCGGTTTGGCTCAGTGGATAGAGCATCAGCCTGCGGACTGAAAGGTCCCAGGTTCGATTCCCGTCAAGGGCATGTACTTGGGTTGCGGGCACATCCCCAGTAGGGGGCGTGCAGTAGGCAGCTGATAGATGCTTCTCTCTCATAGATGTTTCTAACTCTCTATCCCTCTTTCTTCCTCTCTGTAAAAAATTAATAATATATATATATATTTTTAAAAAGAATCAAGGTTGAGGACAGCCCTCTCCCACTGGCTCAGGGGGCTGTCCTGTCCGGGAACCCCTCTCTAGTGTCCGTAAGAGGTGCCTGTAACAGAAGGACGGCCAGCAGGGCAGGTGTAGCTTGAAAGGGGGAAGTGTGTGTGTGTGTGTGTGTGTGTGTGTGTGTGTGTAGGGGCTGTCCCTCATTAGCCCGATGCCATTACAAGTGACTAGTACGATGCATATAGTGGGGCCCAGTAAATGCTAGCTAGTATTGTAACCGGACAACTAAGGGGTCTGGGCTGCCTGTCACTACTTGATCCAATTTAGCAGAGACAGCGTTGAACCAACCACATGAGCGTTTATTCCAATCACACATGCAGTATGGGAGAGCAGCAGGTTGTCCACAAAAATCTGCTCTGTGACCCCCCCCCCCCCCCATAAGCCAGCTGCTTATAGTGGGGAGGGCAAAGATTACCTGGGGATGTAGGCGGGGAGGGCTGGGGTGGGACTCTCTTGTTTGAGAGAGTTAAGATAGTTAATCTTTCTGTGATAATAGGCAGTTTTTGAATGAGAATGGCCTACATTCCAAAGGTCACGCCCAGGTCCAATGGTGACTGTGACTCCTGGGCCCCAGGGGCATACTACTCCCAGCCAGGTTAGAATGTGCTTTCTTTACTCAGAACTAAACATTCACGGTTAACAGCATGAGTAATATTTCTTATAACAACGTAAAAACATTCAAACCTGTAAAGATTTTTTGTGAGTTTATTTGAGCCAAACAGTTGCCGGGAAGCAGAATCTCAGAGGACTGGGATAGTGCTCCGGAGAATGGTGGTTTTTCACCTTGTTTTATCATTACATTCAGAGGAGGAGACTAAGTGGGCTCCATGAACTCCACTGGTGATAGATTAGAGAGGCGGGAGCCAGCAAAGGGGGCGTGGTGGGGGGTTGGGGGGGTGGAGAGGACAACTCTGGAATTGGATAAAAAGTAAAATGATAAGACAGTATTTCTTTTACTGAGGTGGGCACAGGGTAGTTAACAGGCAACAATTAACATGATAACAATAACAATGAAGGAATTGTGGCTTCTGTCCTGCTGCCCAGGGCATTTGGTTGTGTCCTGAGGGGTCCAGAAAAAAGGGAAGTTACAAGTTACCCAGATAGTTCAAGGCTATGTTATCCTAGATGCAAAAAGACATTGGCTCAGTGAAGGTAAAGATTGACCTTGTCTGGGAAGATACCAGCCTAAGCCTAGGACGGAACTACCCATCACTGCTTTCAGTTAAAGTTTTAATTTCCGACCATCTTTGTGGTCACTTTACATCTTAGAATCTGCAAGACTGCCATGCAGGCCTTCCTTGAGTTTGTCGGGTTAGCATGTGGCCTCCTTTGTCCACATAACTATAGCCAGTCCCCAATATTCTATTGTTGCCCCTAACCCTGCCACACTTTGCCCCTGAGGCTCTTCTTTCCCAGCCCTGGTGGGGCTTCCCCTCTGGGCCCTTAGGTTCATGGCTTGGTGGGTCTGGAGGAACCGAATGAGAATGTGTATCTCAGGCCAGGTGTATCTCAGACTCGCACTTTCTAGTTCACCTGGCTGCCTCTCGTGGATAATGCAGGTTTTGTTTCTGAATTGGTGTTTCTCTTCCAGTCCTCCTCTGCTCCTTCTTTGAGGCCAGGCTCCCTGGGCCAAAGTCCTCAGGTCGGATCCGAGGCAAAGTTCACTCTAAGCTTGCAGGGGAATGGAGAACTGGGCCTTGTTCCCTCATGTGAAGTGGTCTGATGACTTCCCCCCGAACTGCTGAGTTGCCTTTGGCAAGTGTGAAAAGTGCAGACTCCATCTACCCACCCGTCCAGACAGCCAGCATTCTTCATAGCATCCCCACGCTGCCTGCGTGGCAGAGCAAACCGTCTCATTCTCATGGCGATGGAGACTGCAGTGGTGTGTGTGTGTGTGTGTGTGTGTGTGTGTGTGTGTGTGCGCGCGTGTGCATGCTTCCATGAGTCTGGAAGGGGAGGGAAACTATAATTGCCTTCTGTTCATTTTGCCTTCTGCTTGTCTCTCAAAGGCAGACACACCTCAGCCCTAAATTCTCCCAGCAGCCTCTTTACCTGTCTTGATATTTCCAGGCCCGCCCCCTTGAGTTTTTCCTGTGTACTGCAGCCAGAGTGCTGAACGCATGCTACTGGGTGACGGTATCTGAGAAAGCCCTCTGGGCTAAGGCCCGTGCCCTTTCTCTACTCTCTTGTCCCATTGCTCCATGCCTGGAGTTTATGCTCTTGTCACTCAGAATTGCCAAGTATGGCCTGTATGGCCCTTCACAGACTGTGTTGCCTTGTGTTTGATTTTGCCTGTGTTCTCACCCTCTGGAATGTGCTTTCCGTCCTTCCTTGTTGACTCAGCTTGGGAGTTAGTCCACAGGGAAGCCTTCCCTGGCAGTCCCAGGCTGAACACATACCTCTTCTCTGGGCTCCTTTGGCAGTGGTGCTTTTCAGTGCATTTACTGTATTGTAACCTCACCTAGACGCTGAGCTCCTCAAGTGTGTTTAGTTCATCTCAGTGTACTCAGCTTCCAGTGCAAGGCTTGGCACAGCCAGCAGTTTGATGACTAATAGTCTATATGCATATATTTATATATATGTCTAAGTGACTGAAGGACCACACTGACCACCAGGGGGCAGATGCTCAATGCTGAAGCTGCCCCCTGGTGGTCAGTGAGCTCCCACAGCCAACCTCCCATAGTCCGTTGGTGTGTGTGTGTGTGTGTGTGTGTGTGTGTGTGTGTCCCCGCCCCAGCTGGCACTATATGGGTCCTAATTGGGACTGGGCGAGATGGCCCTGATTGGCTCTGATTGCTGACCATGCTGAAGGACCCCACTCATGCATGAATTCATGCACCGGGCCTCTAGTAGTTACTATAACAGCAGTGAACATTGAGAACTTACGTGTACGATCATGTAGTTCATCCTTATGATCTCCCAATAAAGATAGCACCATTATTATGCCTATTTTACAGGTTATAGACTCGAGGCTCAGGGAACTTAAATAATTTAGCCAGGGTCACGTGGCTAACAAGTGGTTATAATAAGTCTCTCAACTATTACATTCTCCCCCAAAGTGAAAATCGCCACTAAGGCCAATCCCTGGGACGGGAAGTCGCTGAAGCCGGACAGCCTCCGGTCGCAGCTGGAGACATCACTGAAGCGGCTGCAGTGCTCCCAGGTGGACCTGTTCTACCTGCACGCGCCTGACCACGGCACGCCCGTGGAAGAAACGCTACGCGCCTGCCACCAGCTGCACCAGGAGGTGAGGGTGGTGTCCCGGGCTCCGGGAGGGGGTCTGTGCTCCCTCTGGCCTGTCATAATCCAGGGCTGTCCTAAAGGGTCACTCCTAGGGTCCTCACTGTGGTCTTGTCTTCCTGGGCTCCTGGGATGTGTTGGGTCCTGACCACCCCCTCTCCCCTGCAGGGCAAGTTTGTGGAGCTTGGCCTCTCCAACTACGCAGCCTGGGAGGTGGCTGAGATCTGTACCCTCTGTAAGAGCAACGGCTGGATCCTCCCCACTGTGTACCAGGTGCGGGGCAGGTCTGCAGAGGCCTTGGCCTCCACAGCTCCTGCTGATCCCAACTTCTCTTGGCCCCTCTGACTGACCCCATGCCCTCTCCACAGCATCCATTCCCCTGCTCACAACCTTGCACATGAGCCCCAGGTGCCCTTGGGATGACATGCAAGCTCCTCAGCCTGGCCAGCCAGTACTCGCTCGCTCTGGCCCTGGCTCCCCTTTTTGCCTACCTTGGTCCCATCCTTCCTGCTTCCTTGCTCTGCACATCAGCCTGGAACACTCCCCCCTTCGCCCTGGTAGAAGTGCTCCTTCCTGATGCCCCAGCGGGGCCTCTAATCTCCAGATCTAATCGTCATGTTCCGTGAGCACCTGCTATAATCCTAGAATCCGCCTTTGTTGTCATCATCTGTCTCCTCTCCCTGTCTTAACTCGCCTCTAACATCTCTGGGGGACAGAGACTTGTGTGTGGAAGCCCAGTGGCCCTCCCACCGTGGCACCCACAGATATTTGTGGAATGATAGCTCTCGTCTAGTTTCCCTTCCTGGGGCCCAACTCTGTCTCCCCATCCCCTACCACCGCTCTGGGAATGACCTGGGAAATCATTGCTGAAGTCCTGGGCAGGTTTTGACGAAAGGAGGTTGCTGGGCCGAAACCAGTTTGGCTCAGTGGATAGAGCATCAGCCTGCGGACTGAAAGGTCCCAGGTTCGATTCCGGTCAAGGGCATGTACCTTGGTTGCGGCACGTCCCCAGTGGGGGTGTGCAGGAGGCAGCTGGTCGATGTTTCTCTCTCATCGATGTTTCTAACTTTCTATCCCTCTCCCTTCCTCTCTGTAAGAAATCAATAAAATATATATTAAAAAAGATAAAAAAATAAAGGTGGTTGCTGGGGTCCCTTTCCCTTGACTTGTGCACCCCGTCTAGCCGGCCCTTCTCCCTGCAGGGCATGTACAACGCCACCACCCGGCAGGTGGAAACGGAGCTCTTCCCCTGCCTCAGGCACTTCGGCCTGAGATTCTACGCCTACAACCCCTTGGCAGGTACGGGCTGTAGGGACAAGGCTCCTCCCGGGGCGGGTGGGCATTCCTGGCCCTGGGGGGCAGGGAGGTGTTTGACAAGAGGCTGGGCTGTGTCTTCCATTCCTCCTGGTCCCCCAACCCCTGTCCAGTCCAGAAGAGCCTCTGGGAACAAGGCAGGTCAGGGGGTCTGATGGCAGCCTTCCCCCAGGGGGCCTGCTGACCGGCAAGTACAAGTATGAGGACAAGGACGGGAAACAGCCTGTGGGCCGCTTCTTCGGGAATACCTGGTCTGAGATCTACAGGGACCGGTGAGCGGAGAAGTCTGCATTGGGGGGTTTGGGTGTGGGGGCTGTTGTCCTGTTATCTGAGTGGAGGAGTTCCAGGCTGCTTTCCTGTGGGCTCCAGGCCTTCCCTTGCAGCCTGGACCTATGTGTCTGGATTCCTGCAGGGATTCCCACACCCTCTGTGGGGTTCTTGTTTTTTGGGGGGACCTCTGGGAGGAAATGAGGACCCCTGGACCTAATGCCGGGTGTTCCAGGTCATCACTTGCCAAGAGGGAAGGAAAGAGCCCTGGATTGAGGCTCAGGAGGTCTGGGGCCCCTGCACCAGCTGCCTTTGCTCCCTGGGAAAGTGAGGGCAGGCTCCGTGTTCTTGGGAATAAAGATGTTGTGAAGGTCTCTGGGGAGGGGGCCACATCCTAAATGTTTCTGCTGTCTAATAAGGCAAGAGACCCACTGCTAGAGAGGACACTGCCCTCCACCACCCTAGACACCATGCTGTGGGGTTGGGTGGGCATAGCTGCCCTGGTTGGCTCTTGGCCTGTGGCCCCCAGTGTGACTGACCCTATACTACTGACCTCTGTGCCACCCCCCTCACCTGCCCAGCTTCTGGAAGGAGCACCACTTCAAGGCCATTGCCCTGGTGGAGAAGGCCCTGCAGGCTGCCTATGGCACCAGTGCCCCCAGCATGACTTCAGCTGCCTTGCAGTGGATGTACCACCACTCACAGCTCCAGGTAACCTAGCCTTCCCAGGAGGCTCTGCTTCTGTTTTCCCTTTTTTGGAGGGGAGAGGGAGGGTGGAGGAATGGAAGAAGGGAGAGGACTATACAATTATTTGGTAACTTTGCTTTCTCTGAAATCTCTCCATGGCCCAGTTCTTTTGGGTGGTAATCTTGTTCTTAAGTTCCTTTAGTGCTCTGTCACAAATACTATTGGCTTTATTAGGTTTAGCACTAATTTTATTTTTATTTTTTCATCCTCACTCGGAAGACTGATTTTTTTTTTTTTTTTTTTTTTTTAAAGAGAGGAAGGGAGATGGGTGGGGTGGAGAGAAAGAAACATTGATGGGAGAAACTGATTGGTTGCCTCTGGTATATGCTGCAACTGGTATGTGCCCTGACCAGGAATCGAACCTGCAGCCTTTTGGTGTACTGGATGATGCTCCAACCAATTGAGCCACTTGGCTAAGGCAACTTAATCCCAATTTTATTAAGGAAACTGGCACAGAGGCTATTACACTTGACCAGGGTCCACTGGTACATGTGACTGGGCATGGATATCTGAGACCTACATTTTTTAGCCATTAACATTTATTCCATCCTTGGTTGCCGGCTCTGCAGCGTCGAGCTCTGTCCCTGGTGGGGTTGTCCTCTCCCTGCTGTTCCTTTTCACCTCCCCAGCTGGGGCATTGTCTGGCTCCCTTTACTGAGCACCTGTTAAGTGCCAGGCCTGAAGCAAAATATTTCACAAACTTAATTCCCACAATCAGCCTTCAAGGCCAAGTAAGTAACCCAGGTTTACCCAGCTGCCGAGTGCAGAAGCTCTGAAGTTAGTTCTGTCTGCTGAGGCTGGAGGCAGGGCTTTAGAGCTGTTAGAAGACAAGGTAAGTTTTTTCTGGAGTAGAAAAGGGTATATACAGATATCAGACCCAAATCCAGCAGGGGCGGGGCTGGCCGGGTGTGCATGACGGCAGCACTGTGTACTGGTGTGTTGACGTCTGTCCATCTCCTCTTCCAGGGCGCCCACAGGGATGCGGTCATCCTGGGCATGTCCAGCCTGGAGCAGCTGGAGCAGAACCTGGCAGCGACCGAGGAAGGGCCCCTGGAGCCAGCCGTTGTGCAGGCCTTTGATCAGGCCTGGCACCTGGTTGCCCATGAGTGTCCCAACTACTTCCGTTAGGCCTCGTCCTGACGTGGTGGCAGAGGGTCCCTTTCGTTCTCACCCTGGCCTTATGCGGCTTTGTTTAGCCTGTTCTTTCTCATCATCTGTTCACAAATGTTTCCTATATTCTTGGAATACTCCCAGTTGCCTTCACAAAATGTCAAGGCTGGGGCCGTGAGTTGCTCCAGCATTTCCGGTCTGAATAAAGCAGGCACCGGGGTAGCCCAGGCCCCAGCACACCTGGTGAGCTTTCTTCTGCTGCCAGCAGCCTGTCTTCCTAAGGCCTGGGGAGAAGGGCGCAGGAGTATGGACCCCCATTGAAGGACAGAGGCAGTGGGAAGGGCTCCCCGCCTCCTGCGCTGACCTCTCAGGAGGGACTGCAGGTGGCCCTTCCACACAGGGTAAATGGCCATTGAACTTGAAGTAGGTTTTCTGTTCAGAAATGGTCTCATGGAGTCCTTTACAAATAGAACAATTTGGGCAAAAAACCCACTATCATTAGAGTCACCGCCAAGACCTCCCAGGATGCTCTGGAACATTAACACTCGATTTCCCCAGGGGCTTTACTCTGGTCCCAGCTAAAGCCTCTGTCACTTGGTCCTCCAGAAGCTTGTCAGCTCTGGTTTGGGAGTGTGTGTAGGGGTAGGAATAGGAGCCAAACTGCCTGCTTTTCTCTGTATAAAATGTTTTTATTTTATTGATTTTAGAGAGAGGAAGGGGCATGAAGAGAAACATCAACGAGAAACAGATCAGCTGTCTCTTGCCCACCCCTTACTGGGGACTGAGCCCACAACCTCTCAGTGCATGGCACGATGCTCAACTGAGCCATGCCAGTCAGGGCCAGCGTGCCTGATTTCCTCAGCAAACTTGTTTCAAGCAAGGGCACTGAGGGCCAGGGAAGAGAAGCCCGAGGCTGCTCTCCTGGGCTCAGAAGTCTCGCAGGAACTAGTGCTGGAAGCTGACGCAGGTTGTGAAAAGGAACCCCAAGAATCCGAACAAAAGTCCAAACCCAAAGGCCTTTTTTTCTGAGAAAAGTTCCTTTGCCATCTACAGGGAGACACCCTACAGACAGTTTTATTCTTTGTAGGGAAACAGTCTGTCCCTATCGCCCTCTTGTCTTCATCACAGCAACAAATAGCTGCTCCAAGAGGGGCAGCATCAGTCCAGTGTGGTCAGGATGACAGCTGGCATGGCCGGGTGGCCCTCAGTCCACGTGCCCATCATCAGTCATCATCTTCCTCTGACTCTTCCGCCGACTCGGACGCGCTCTCTGGCAAGTCATCTCCCATCTGTTGGAACCTTCCAGACTGTGCATCCCACATGTATTTGATGGTCACCTTGAATTCAGCCATCTCATAGCCGAAAAGCTTCTGCAAGAGACAAAGGAACCAAGTCAGGAGGAGCGGGTGTGATCAGGAGTCTGTCCCTCCCGCTACACAGTCTGCAGACTGCTGGGAGGGCCCAGGCCCGACTCACCAGCACACGCGCCTGCTCTGGGGTCAGCACGTCGCCCTCCTTGCACACCTCGTAGTCGGACAGCAGGGTCACCACACCTATGGGGGGTGGGGTGGGGGTGGGGGGCAAGCAGTTACTTCTGGCAGAGCTTGCTGTCTGCTCCCAGTTGGGAAGAATCTGCTTCTCCCCACCAATGCAGCACACATAGAGGCACGGATTAATCTGTGCTCAGCGGCCTCTCCCATTATCTCAAGTTACTGTCAACCATGAGGCAGACACTCAGCCCCACTTTCTCATGAGAGAATGGAAGCTGGTAGAAATAACCTGCTCAGCCAGAAAGGGGAGGAGCGGGGCCTGTCAGGTTTGGGAGCCTGTGCTCTGGGCCACTCGGCTGTGATGTTTCAGCTCCAGGGGCCTCCCCGTACCCTTCTTGAGGGCGGTGGGCAGGCCGAGCTGCCTCAGCTGGGGCTCCATGGAGTGGGGGAACTGCTCCAGGGGCCCCGGGTCCAGGTTCACGGTGAACGTGGCTCTGTTTCCAGCCCGGGCGTAGTCCATTTCCGCATATTTCGTGAACCACCTTAGGAGAAGGAAAAGCGTGGGAGGGGAGGTTCCTGACTGGCCCATCAGCCCACTGGAAGTCAGAGCTAGGATCAAAGACTTGGTAGTGGGTTCCAGGAACCAGCTCATGTCTCCACTGGACAAAGTCCCTGGATTATTCTGTCCCCAGAGTCCTCACCACCTCTCTCTTCCCCACCATGCCCCCAACACACTCACTCATTCACTTCCTCCTTCGTGCGATTGGTGAAAAGGAGGCCAACTTCACCCCTCAACTTCTTGCTGACCTAAAGAACAAAAGTGGGTAGGTCGGGTCGCATTAGAGCAGTGGTTTTAGACTGGGGACAATTTTCACCCCCGCCCCTCACATTTGGCAATATCCGGAGGCATTTTAGATGGTCACAGCTGGACCGAAGTTAAAGGAGAGCCGGTGCTTTAAGCCAGACCTTGCTTTCCCCAGCCGGCTGGGATGCATGTCCTGTCAGAGCAGCAGGAGAGAAGGCAGCTTTGATCCCTCCTAGTGAGGGCCAGACTCACCTGATGGAGGTTGTCTTTGTACTCATCCGCTGGGCTTCGACCTAAGGCCACCATCATCACTTTGTTTTTGCCAAAGAACATCCTGCGGGGAGAGGAGGGATCCGTGAAGGAGGTGGCCTGCCTCAGTTAAGAGCAAACCAGCTCTACTCCGGCTTTGTAGCTGGAGGAATGGTCAGACCCCACTTCTTCCATGGAGCCCTGCCACTGTCTCCAGTCCACTATTTCCTGCCTACAGACCTGACATTCACAATTAATGTGGATATCTGCCCTCCCTGTCTGAACATATGGAAGAGGCCCCTTTAATGGTCTGAACCAGTGCTGGCGCAGCAAAAGAAGACCAGAATCGCCATCCGCACTGCCGTCATTCCAGCCCAAGGACAGATACTCGCCATGTGGCTTGTAGAGCCTGCTGTTGGGTCCTGTGGCTTCCCAGAGCACACCCTGACCTGAAACTGACAGGGGTTCCTAAAAAAACCAGACCTTAGGGGTAAGGAGCCCCTTTTTCTGGAAGGGCCAATGCTCAAACATTCCCTGAGCAATGACCAAGTCTGGCCCCCACAAGAAGTTCAGTGCAAAACCAGCTATCACAGTTACAAAGTGCCCTCCAGTGGGGGCATGGCACTTTGTCCTTAAGATGCCATCTATGTCACTCGGAACCAGAGACAGTAACTGCCTCTGTGCTTTGAGCAGAACGCCTTTCCACGCTCAAAAGGGCCCCGCCCGCCGCCTGCTCACCGGCTGTGCTTCCAGGCGTTCCGGATGTCCTTCAGCTTGCTGTTCCGCATGTTGGCCACGGAGAAGATGAAAAGGTACTTGTACGTGTCCACACATTTCCGAAGCTGTGGAATAATTCAGGGGGCTCTGAAGTTCAAGGGGCACCATTGGCAGGGCAACACTCCGGCCTCCGATGGGAAAGAATATGCTCCAGGTCCCTTACGACAGGAAGTTCAGAACTGGAGGCCTCTAAGCCGGGACCCCTGAGCAGAGCAGACATGACCTCAAAGTGTCCAGGAAGCTGAGCCATGGGTCAAGATCCCAGGTTTTCCCAGGTTTCTGACTCATCTGCGGCCACTTCCTTCACCACCCTGCTCTGTCCACATTGCTGGCCGCAGTATGAGGAGGTGGCCTCAAGGGAACAGAATCTTTGTGTTGGAGGAGACACCCTTCTTATCCAGCCTGAGCCCCAGCATTTACTCACATCTGACAACTCCCAGTTTTTTGACATCAGGCAGACTAACAAATCTCTGTAAGCTTCAGTTACACAACCGCAAAAACAGTGACAATGTCAGCTCATATGTAAGGATGAAGTGGAATGATACATGTGGAACACAGCCCCGTGCAGGGCAGAGGAAGAGCTCAGTCAAAGCTGGAAATCATTACTCTGAGAATTTTTATTGGTGCTGCCACTGGAGGAAAAGGGCTGGACCGGCCTTTCCTTTTCTCCTTTTAAAGAGAATGTTTCCCCAACATACAGTCCTATACCCACATTTCTAACCAAATACAAGGTCTGGGAAAATACAAAGAACAAGCTCTTACCTCTTCGATCAGGTTCTGTTTCAGTTCCAAGCCTTTCTTGGCAGTTTTGGTTAAGGAAACTAATACAAAAAAGAAAAAGGAGATGTGATGAGAGACAAGCTAGGTGTCCTAGAGACTCATTTTTTTCTCACCTCCAGTATTGGCTGGACCAAACCAGTACGGGGAGAGGCAGCAAGGCCATTCCAGGGTCCTAGTGTGCTGTTTTCTGTCATTCCTGACCCTGGAGGTCCTTTGATATATGTCCTGTTATGCAGACAAACTAGATATCCCTTCACTCCTCTTAGTTTAACCTAGAATTCCGTACTGAGGTGGGGGTGGGGCTTCTTCCTGCTCCAGAGTGCTTTCAGTGGCAGACCTAGCCTGCTGGCTGAGGCAGGTCCCTTCCGGCTCTTGGCCATGGTGCACCGAGCCATCTATAGTTGGCCTCTGCTGTGGAATGAATTAGTCTGGGGGCCCATCACTGACCTCCTCTGCTACATCTTTTGCAGTTTGGACCCATGGATGTAGCAATGCCACTTTGGGGGAGAGGTAGGCACCCCTAAGGTAACAATAGCTGGGCCCCAAATGGTCCCTTACCAGGAAGGGTTTGGTTTGGCATTTGCCAGATCTCATCATGGCTCCCCTCAAAGAACCCACACACACTTAAAACATTAAATGCAAAGCCCAGGGTGCCCCCAAGAAGAGGCTGCCTCTTATTTATCCTGCCTGGGACTTAGTCCCTCTTCACAAGGCATGCATACAGAAAGGCAGTCCCACCGGTCAGGGGCAAGTGAAGCTGAGGGCAAGCATAAAGCAACGATCCATTTTCTATCACTTCCGCTGCTACAGTGTGGACCGAACCAACCTCAGCCAGTCTTGGATTGCTGCTGGTCTTGCTGCTTCCATTCTTGCCTCCACTCTACCCAGTCCATTCTCAACAAGGCAACGAGGCTAATCTTTTAAAAGTAAAGCTAAACTACGGTCATCCCTCTGTTCAGGCCCTCTCGAATGGCTGCACATTTCATCGGGATCTGAAAGGCAATTCCTTGTAAAGGTCTAAAAAGTTCCGCCCACTCTTCCCACTCTGCTCCAATCACACTGGTCTCTTGTCCCAGGACATGTCAAACTGCCCTCATGTCAGTCAGTGTTTGCACTTCTATTTCCTCTCCTGGGAAAGCCATTATATCCAGGCAACCCCATGGGTTGTTCACTTCCTTTCTTCAGGTTTCTGCTCATTTGTCACCTCATCAGAGAAACTTTCTCTGGTCACAGTATACAAAATTACATCACCTGTTTAAATTTTACTCCATGGGACTCATCACTACCTGACATTAGTTGTTCGGTTCTTGGTATGAGGGGAGACATACTTCCCATGACTACAATGTTAAACTCTGTAAGGGCTCTAGGCCTTCCTCGTAACTGCTGTATCCTCCTATGCCTAGAGAGTGCCAGGCCCTAAATACTTGAGTGAATGTGCTAACCAGCCGTGTGAGAGAGGCCACCATAGTCGGGATGCTCTCTTAGGAGGTGCCTGCCATATGAACTGACAAATGAGGTCTGCCGGATGAAGACTGGATCATAAGCATGCCGGGCAACAGGGGCTACAAGTACAGAACCAGACGCGAGAGCAAGTCTGGGATGAAGGGAGAGGCGGCCCGGGTGGCGACAGCACAGAAAACTAAGGGGGGTGGGCCGAGGTGGAAAAGTGGATCAAGGAGAGATCGAGAGTAGTCTGGGTACTCAGAAGCTGTTTCCTGGTCCAGCACGGCTTGGGAGAACACTCGAGGCCGGGCGAAGCGGTCTCCGCTCCCTGGCCCCAACCAGGCTCCAGTCCCCAGTCCCCTGGGATGCTCCCCGTGCCCCAAGGGCCCCCGCCGCCCGCTAGCAGCGCAGCTCCTTGAGAAGGCCTGGGTGTCCCATTCCCTGCCCCCAAGGGTCCCACAGCCCCCATCGCAGCCGGCCCCCAGCCAGCGGAGCTCCCCCCGAGTCCCAACGTCCCTTTCGCCCACCTTTCTTGTCGCGCTTGGACTTGGGCATCTCTCCACAGACACGTGCGGCGGAAGGCGGCGCTGCCTGCTAGGACCCCGGTGGCGCGGGGGCTTCTGGGACGGCTCTGGAGAGCTGTCTTCGCAAGTGCCTGACCCAATCTGCGCTGCAGTCAGCCTCTCCGCCGGCCGCCGCCTGCGCCCTTCCCCACGTCTCCAGAGCTACTTTCCGCGGGTCCGGGGACCCCCGAGTCCTGGGCGCCCCACCCAGGGTTTTGCGTGTGTTTCCCGACTCTACGGTTCGCGGAGAGGGAGCCTGCGGCGCGGTGCATGCCGGGCCGGCGGCAGGCGGGGCCGGGCTTCCATCATGGCGGCGGCGGCTTGTAGGTTCTGGCTCTGGGCTGCCCTGCTCATCCCTGCGGCTGCAGTCTACGAAGACCAAGTGGGCAAGTTTGATTGGTGCGTGCAGGGGGGCGCCCCTTCGGGAAATATGTGGCTATTTTGCCAGTACCTGTCTTCTGCCTGCTGAAGAGGGGGGTGATCAGGCATCAGGACCGCAAAGGTTTCCTAACTTGCGGGGCCCAGTGCAATAAGAATGTGGGACCCGTGTTCGTTCAGAAGTGAAGTTTTAAGGTGGCGACAGCAGAGCATTAAGCCAAACGTTGGGGGCGCTGCTAAGCCGCCCCGCGAGACCGTCCAGGTAGCAGCCCGGGAAGCCGGCCTGACGTCCCGCAGGCTGGGGTTCTGGACGGCGAGCGCTGCTCCCGCCTCCCCGTCAGGTTTCTGATCTCCTCCGTGAACTCTCAGTCCTCCTCGAATTGGCGTCTCTCGGGCATGTGGACAGGACCTTGGGGGTTATACGTCCTACTGAGTCCTCTCGTTTCGCCTCCCTTCCAGCCCAACCCAGCCCTGGCCTCAGAACAGGTCCGCCCACGTTTTACAAGGGCCAGAGGTGCCATTCATTCACTTAACCCTCCTCCCTCCCCAACCCCCCGCTTCTTCCTTGAGGCCCTGGAGCTGGCTTGCTTTTGTTGGAATCTCAGTTTTGCCATTTAAGGGTTGTGTGATCTCGGGAAAGTGACTTAACCATTCTGTGCCGTGTTTTCATGATTTGTGAAGTGGTTTACTAATACTAGTACATTACTTCTTACTGTAGTTGTAAGGATGATCGAGATAAGTCCCATAAATTGGCACAGTGCCTGGCTCATTGAGTGCAGTCAGTAAATGTTACTCATTATTGTTGCTATTCAGGGGGCATTTCAACCTTCAGATCCCCACTCCGATAGCTCCTCTGTGAAGTCTTTTCTGAAGCCGGCAAATTAATTCACATATTTGTTGAGTGCCTGTAGTGGGTCAGTGGTTATTCTAGGTGCTGTGGACACAGAGGTGAAGGAGCTTGTGGGGCAGGTATACAGTAAGTCCTTACTTAATGTCATCCAGTAGGTTCTGCAATTTTAACAAAACCACATACATCCAAACCACTTTTCCCATAGGCTAATTGATATAAGCAAGAGTTAAGTCCCTACGGCAAATCATTACAATGCAACAACATTATTCCAGGACCTGCTGTGTGTGACAAATGCAACATGTCACGTTTTTAATGACGGGGCACATGCTCACAATATAATATGTATGATTCCAATTTTGCAAATACTAGGCACATGCAATTTACAAGCTGAAAAATAAACGGAAGGAAATACACCAACATGTTAATACATTTATGGCAGTGGTATTTGGGACTTTTTTATTTTCTTTGTTATATTTTTATATATTTTTCACATTTCTACAACGAGCAGACATTACTTTATAGTCCAGATAACAACATTTTAAAAGAGAGCATGGATTTAGAGTCAGATCTTAGTTTTACCTTCTAGTTCTGACAGTAATTAGATTACTTCAGTGGACTTTGATTTACTTACCTGTAAAATGAGTAATAATCGTCAGGTGTACTTCATGGCGCGTTCATTGGATACAGTGAGAGTCAAGTAAGTGGAAATCCTGGCAGAAACTGTCCAATGTCATATAAGCCTGTCACTATCAGCTTCTTCTAAAAAAAAAAAAAAAAATTAGACCAAACAACATCATGAGGAGGAATTCAGTGTAAGCATCATATGTGATTAATTTGCTAGAGAATGTTGTACTTTTTTTTTTGTTGTTGACACTATTATAGGTGTCTCCCACTTACCCCCCCTCTGTGCGCATATCCACCCAGCACCCCCCCCAACCCTGGCCTTCAACACTCTGTTGGGGAATGTAGCACTTTTTCATCAGTAGCAGTGTGTACTTGGAAGTCTGCCATACAAAGCTAATTGCATTCTCTTTATGCTTAGAGTGTTGAAAGTGAGGAGGGATGTATAGTCCCAAGAAAGTATGAGAATGGGTCAAATGGATCCTGAATGTGGTGTGGGCTAGAAAAGGTTGTAGAGAACAAAGCCTGACCCAGTCTATGGAGTTTTGTTGTAAAATTTGCATAATTTTTCCTCCAGAGGTCAGTGAAAATAGAAGAAAAAGTTGGATTGTGTGTTCATGGACAGTAGGGTTTGTGCCTCTTCCTCATGTGCACTCTGAGTGCCTAGTCCCACTACTAATGACCACAGAGAGAACTGTGATGTTTGTTCTAGTGGGAGGTAGGCCAGGTGTCACTGATCTGGAGATAAACATGTGCTTACATTTAGAAGGAAGGCTTGTATTTTTTCATCTATTAGGGCTATTCTTATTCCCTTTGCTTCAGACTACATTGTATGGAAATCTTGCTTTGGGTGAGGTCTCCTCATTAACAAACATGTCTCCCATGGCCTAAGCTAGGTCTGCTGCTGATAGCTTGTGCCTGTGCAGTTGATTTTTCCAAAGCACTTGGTGCGGTGCTGGTTTTGGCCCCTCACATTTCCCTCTTCTTTAGGAGACAGCAGTATATTGGGAAGCTCAAATTTGCCTCCTTGGAATTTTCCCCTGGATCCAAGAAGTTGGTTGTGGCCACAGAGAAGAACGTGATTGCAGCCTTAAATTCTCGGACTGGGGACATCTGTGAGTAAATTTTGTAGATCGTTAGCTCAGGATGGAATGGCTGACCATAGTGAATCCAGAATGATCTGTGGCTGGCCAAGTCTGCCTGGCTGGTTCCAAGTTAGGGACAAGTTGGCCAAAAGATGCATCTCTTACTGGATTCTGACAGCGTATTTTATTTTTTTATTTTTTAGTCATGTCATTTAATATATTACTGGCCTTTGTAGTTTATTCCCTCAGATCAAGTCCTAACTATTCTTAAAGTAGATATTACTGCAAAAAACACATTACTATATTTTGCATTAAAGATTTGGATTACCACCTTTCCAATTACTTGTACTGCTTTTAGGGATGTTTTTAGGCACTAAAACAATGGCTATGAAATTTATAATCGCTTTTTTTTGTGTGTGAATCATACAGGTTTTGTTAACTTTGTCATTGTTCATTTACATGCTTGATGAGGTGGTAGTGGAGATGGGAGTGCAGAGACCTCCCCTTGTTACCAGGGAGTGCGAGGGTGTCATCGCCAGTTCTCTGTAGTCCTTCTCTCCCTTCAAATAAAATTGGGCACCACCGTGCCAACAAAGACCTCTTCTGTTTTCTCCCACCTGTCTTCTTGGGTGCCTCTCTTTATTTCGTAGTAATGACTGACTCTCCTGTCCCTCAGTGTGGCGCCATGTTGACAAGGGCACGGCGGAAGGGGCGGTGGACGCCATGCTGCTGTACGGACAGGGTAAGCAGAGGCCTGCTTTGCTTCTCTCGTGGTGGTGGCCCCTCTCCTCATTCCTTGGTTTCTTCCTTGCCCTGGGTCTGGTAGGGGAAGGAGAAGGGGTATTCCCAACAGGAAAGAACAGGTCTGCAAATAGCTCTTACTTGCACTCATATCAGAGGCGAGGTTACCGCTAACAGGCCCCAGGAGGCTACAGAGCTCCGACCTGGGGGATGGTGTCACCATGGATTTTTCTCTTCCAGATGCAGTCACTGTGTCCAATGGTGGCCGGATCATGCGTTCCTGGGAGACTAACATCGGGGGCCTGAACTGGGAGATTACCTTGGACAGTGGCAGGTAGAGGGGAAGAAGCTGTATTTCATCTGGTTCAGGGCTTTGCTGGAGCAGAGATCTGTGTGGGCAGCAGCTCTGGGTCTTTTGGCTTTTTCCCAGGGACCACTACAGAGCCAAAGAGCATTAAATGTCCAGGTTTTTGTTTTTGTTTTTTTAATCCTCACCCAAGAATATGTTTTTACTGATTTTAGGAAGGGAGAGAGAGAGAGAGACAGAGAGAGAAAAACATTGATTTGAGAGAGAAACATCAACTGGTCGCCTCCCATGTGTGCCCGACGGGAATTGAACCCACAACCTAGATACGTGCCCTGATCCTGCATCGAACCCACCACGTTTCCATGCTCCAACCAGCGGAGCCACACTGAGGTTATGGAACACATGTGTTTACTCAGCCAGCATTTACTAAGCACCTCTTAGATGCAGAGCTCTGAGCTAGCTAAGTGCAGTGTTTATTGTATTCAACTGCTTTTTCTAATCTTACCATGACTTGAGAGCTTTGCAGTGTTGTAGATACAAGAACATAATATAGAACTTTCAATGTTTTAATTTTGTGTTTAGAGAACAGCTTGAAGTTCTGTTACATCTTTGCTAAAGTTTGATAAGATCATGTGCATTAGCTTATGCATCTGATAGTCATTTATTTGGTAAACATGTGGGGAGCCCCCCGGCAGTGGGAACACACCTGTGAGCGTGAGTTAGTTTCTGTCATCAAGGAACTCACTGTCAGCTGGGGGAGGCAGGCATGTGGCCCAGGAATGACATTACTGTGTGAGGGGCGCCATGGTGGGGGTTTGGTCTGGTTGCTGTGAAGTCCCACGGGAAGGTGGGAACAAACCTTAGCGGATTCAGAGGGCTGGAGGGAAGCAGTTGGCCTAGTGGTTCAAAGAGGCAGAGCCAGGCTAGGATCCAGATGCGTTTGAGCCCAAAATCTATTTTCTTGCCTACCCAGCTACCGTGGCAGTGTGCCACATTGTCTCCTGGAGCCTGAGGCTCTGGAGGTGCTGGGCAGTGCTCACCCTGTGCCTGTGCTCAGCTTCCAGGCGCTTGGGCTGGTCGGCCTGCAGGAGGCGGTGCGGTACGTGGCGGTCCTGAAGAAGACCACTCTTGCCCTCCATCACCTCTCCAGTGG